TTCTTCTGTATCACCTCTCTCCCAACCTTGATTTCCTCTCTGCTGCTTCATGAACCTTGCTACCTAAGCCTTGGCTGGCAGTTATTTCAATCCTGTGTTCTCCACACCCACCTTCCTATGCCCACCCTCACTCATCACACTGGAGACTTTCCAGACCTCACTAAGGATTGTTAAATGTGATCGTTCGCAATGAAGACATTGGGATTCTTTCCTGAGAAGGGAAAGCTTTTTGTAAAATGTATTGTTTTAAAGTTAGCAAAACACACCCTTGTGTGCAGTAAGCTCTCGGTTTGTTTTGTCTGTGAAGTGAGTATCCAGTGGAGCTGTGAGGTTCAGTGTCTGTTAGGTTGATGTCACACTGAGGTATGAAAAAATCAAACTGACTTCGGTTGCTATTAGTATACAAGTGACTGAAATACAGAATAAAAGAAAAGATTTACTTTTAATTGGGTTATAAGGGCAAAACTCCAGGAAGTGGCATTTTGCTCAGAGATTGAAGGATGGGTATATATGAAAATAGCAAGATGACTAGTGGCTATTCCAGATGGAGAGAACACTGTGAACAGAGGAAGAGAAGAGAATGCAGGGCACGTAGACAGCAGATTACTCATTCTGGCTGAAGCCTGGTGTGCCAGGAGGTAGTGAGAAGGAAAGGGAGATGGGGAAGACATTCTCAAGTGCTGTGCTTTAGCTAAAGGTCATACACACATTCTTAATATGGTGTAAGTGTTCTTACTGCAGATAATCTCTTCATAGTGGAAGATTCTTAACAGTATTTTCTAAAATGAGATTGTCAGGGAAGTGGCACAGTGATCACAAGTATCATCTATCTTGGAAGATCTAATAAAATAAGGAAATCTATTTCCCCACTTAAAAGCAATGTATGACCATGGTGGCTCACCCCAGCTCTCAGTAGGCTGAGGCAGGGAGATCATGAAATCAAGACTATTCTGGGCTGTATGGTGAGACTGTCTCTGGAAAAAAAAAAGTTACAAAGGGAAAATAGGATATTGTAAGAATTTATCTTATTGATGCCATTTAGAGATATTTATCTAAATTTACAGAATATATTTGAACATACAGAAAAGTTGAAGTTCAGTAAAAAAGGATATTTTCTTACCCATTTGAGAGTAGATTGCTGTCATGATACCCTCTTGCCCCAGATACTTTACTATGTGTTTCCTAGACATCCTTCTGCATGATCCTAGACATCCGCCTGCATGAAAGTATGCAGTGGTACTGGCCATTGCTGATGCTCAGACCCTGTTCCACTTTAATTATTTCAGATGTGAACAGTGTATTTAGTAGTCAGGTCTTGATCTCCAACTCTAGAAGAACTCCGTAGTCTCTGACACTCAGGACCTTAAGCAGTCAGAAGGCGAAGAGCAGTGGTCCTGTTGGACAGGACGCCCCTCTGTGCTGTGTGGTGCTTCCACTAGTCCATACCCTCAGCAGGGTTGTTACAGAAGGGATCCTGGTGTTTTTCCAGTCACGTCGCCCTTTTAAACTGTCTCATTACTGTCGCTATTCACTTTGATAACTGGTAAAGGTAATGGTCTGCCAGGCATCCTTTATGATTATTTTGAGGACTTTGAGACTATAAAAATGCCCATTTCCTTATGGAACTTCTAGTCTATAAGCCTGTTCGGGCAGTAATAGCATATTATTGTTCCTTTGTTGCTTGTGCTTTCCATTTTCCAGAACCATTGAATATGCAGCAATGGAACCCATTCTAAGTACAAGGGCGGGAGTAGGTAGTTCTTTCAGGCTCCCACAATGTAGCCCTGGCTAGCCTGGGACCCTAGAAACCAGATTGGCCTGCCTCTTCCTCCCTGGTGCAAGGATTAAAGTGTGAGTCACCAGGCCCAGCAAAGCTCCATTCTCTCTAATGCTGGCTCCTTAGGCTAAGACAAGTTAGTAGCCAATTTAAGCCAATTTCCCCATATGTCAAATGGAAATTGTGGCGTTGTTTCTTGGGTTATTGTGAAAATTGAATAATGCATACAAGCACCTGGCCGAGTGTTGTTGTCATAATAATCACAGAGATAATAAACAAGTACTTCAGCTGCAATACTATTTTAAAGTTGCTGGTAATAGCTTAAAAGGAAAGCCAAAACCCTGGCAGGAAAAATGCAATCTCATCTATTCCTTTCCTTTAGTCTAAGTGTGTGTGTGTGTGTGTGTGTGTGTGTGTGTGTGTGTGTGTGTGTGTGCATGCACGCGTGCACACTTTAGGGCATGCACATGTGTATTCTGAGAAGATAATTCCAAAGTTCAGATAACTAAACAGCTTGGCATTTGTTTGCATATTTGAGCTAGATGACAGTGTAATGGAAGGATTATTATTCGGCCTGAGTTATTTATTTGGTGTACAATTGAGGAGAAAGTATTTATTATTATTAGGGAATATTTCATGATAATTTAAGTTGTGGAAAGGGAATGACTTAATATTAATGACTTAATATTAATTTACATTTTCTTTTAACTCTTGCTGGCTGCTGTCTTTGAACATGATGATTGCTGCTGACAATAATACATCCTACATTACCATGTCAGCAGTGGTACTTTAAATTCACACAGCATGGGAACTCTGTAGAGCTATCTGACTGGAAACCACATCTTCTGCCATGAGAAACAGAGCAAGTGTTTTTTGAACATTTGTTTTTGTGTGTAGTAACATACATGCATACTTTGTTTGTTTGTTTGTTTGTTTGTTTGTTTGAGACAGGGTTTCTCCATATAGCTTTGGAGCCCTTCGTAGAACTCCCAGGCTGGCCTCGAACTCACAGAGATCCACCTGCCTCTGCCTCCCGAGTGCTGGGATTAAAGGTGTGCGCCACCACTGCCCAGCTTGTATACATACAAAAATCAGCCAGGCAGTGGTGGCACACACCTTTAATCCCAGCACTCGGGAGGCAGAGGCAGGCGGATCTCTGTGAGTTCGAGGCCAGCCTGGTCTACAGTGTTAGGTCTCTACCACTGAGATAAACTCCCAGCCCCACCCATGGTACCCTGAATGAGGAAGTATAGTATTTAAGGAAGGCAAATCTGGTTTCCTTTAGAAAACAATTCATGTTGTAAAATTTTATGTTTGTATTGAACATAACTTCTGTAAACACGTGGAACAATATAATGCTAGGACATCTAGGAATGTGGAATAAGACAACTCCCTATCATTTTAGTAGCATGCTAAAATTCTTCCCCACCCCCATTTCATACCGGTTAGAGAAAGGCCCACCCTTAATTGTGAACACATTAGGGAATGCGATGGTATTAGTTACCTGAGTCATTTGCCTTAGCCTGTGCTGCCAGCTAGCTGAGCACAGTTCACCCAATGACAAAAGTGAGGTTACAAGGAGGAAGCTTGAGTGGATGGTCTGAGCGAGGCACATGGGGAGGCTTGATACCTTGCAGAACTCCGGGGAAGAGCTCGAAGGGAAAAGAAGAGCATATAATCCAAGTGGCCAGAAATCTTAGGTAAAACATAGGCTTAGCAGAGCCCTTTGTCAGCAGTGAAGATGGCCAACAGGGTCTGGGGAGCTTGGAGCCATCTGCTTACTTTCCTAGAGCAGCACATGAGCCCTGCCAAAGGCTCCGTGGTTCTGCAGTGTGGACAGAGAGGCAGAAGGGTGCGCGTGCCGGTGACAGGTCAGCAGTGTGACCTAGCAAGCCAGGCAGCGAGCTGCTGAGAGATGAGAGTGGGGAAAGAAGGCCAGTGGAGATTTCACACTTTAGAATGTGCTACTTGGGAGTTTGTGAAATACTAGATATGCTTTGTTTTTTTGATACATTGTAAGTGTATATCTGCTAAGTGCTAGGAAGATTTTTCCTTTAAACTTTGGGGATATTTTTGTTGTTGCTGGTTTTTCTTTCAGTAGACTAGCCATAGTAGCTTGCTCTAGGGAAATTATTGTCTGAATTGTACTTATTAACGAGATACCATCAGCTTCTGTCTAAGGAAGTGAGGCAAAGGTCGGTAAAGACTGCCTCTGTAACACGAATTGTTAAACGGTCTTATTAATAAAAAACCCAGAGCTAGATACTGGGGTAAAAGCTGAAAGATAGAGAGGCACAGCATCAAGTCACTAGTTCTTACCTCTACGAAATCCTCCTCCGAAAGAGAGCAAGCTCCTCTCTCCACCCCACCTTATCACTTCCTCTCTCTGCCTAGCTCGATCACTTCCTGTGTGTCTGTACAGATCTCTAGACCTCTCTGGTTAACTAGTGGCTAGCTCCTCCTTCTGATTTTCAGGCAAGCTTTATTTGTTAAAGCACAGATAAAATATCCCCGCATTCCCCATGGCTGTGCTAAACTTTGTATCAGGCAGTGGCTTGCAGCATTGTACCCGTTCAGGCACTATTCTAAGTGTCAAGGATAAGGGAGAACCAAACAGATCATCAGTGAGAAAAAATGGATTAATTAGATGTTGGAATTATTTAACTCCAGCAAGAACGCTGTACTACTGGTTGGAGAAAATACCTAATATAACACACAGGTGTTAAGACCCCGTTGCTGAAGACAACACCTATATTGAACATAGAGATAGGGAGCTGGTGCCTACATAGAGCTTTCATTTTTATGTTCAGGCATCTTCAGTACGCAAAGATATCCTGCACATTATCAAAAGAATAAGGTAAACACCAAGCCAACCACAATGGTGTCTGACTGCAAGAGATGCTAGGGTAATGGTGGCACAAAGCTTGTGGGAGTCACCAACCAATAACTGATTTGACTTAAGGCCCATTCCACGAAATGTAATCCAGACCTGACATTGCTTGAGTAACCAAGAACCTGAGACTAGATAGCCAAGGGACACAGGAAAACTGAATGATACTGGTCTAAAAGAGAGAGAGAGAGACAGAGACAGAGACAGAGACAGAGAAACAGAGAGAAAGGAGAAAAAAATAAATTAAAAAGAGAATATTACATTTTGAATTTTTGTTTCAAATTCTGGCTTCATAACTAAATAGATTTTGATGTTTTCAATTATTTTTCACAGCATCTGCAGAAAAGGAGGCAATTAAAGGTACATATACCAAAGTACTGGATGCATATGGACTTTTAGGAGTTTTGCGGTTAAATCTTGGTAAGTGTTATTCAGTGCGGGTCATCTACTCTTCCGTTTCTCTTTTGTAACCCTGGAGATTACAGAGACTGCCTCTACATTATTTCAGACTCAGTATCTGAGCTTTAAGTGTTGTATACCTTTTAAAAACTAATTAGGCTAATCTTATTAAATAATACTTTATTACTATGAGAATTTCATGTAATGTATTTTGATCATATTCCACCCCCTCTCAACTTGCACACATCCCCACCCAACCTCTTTCTGTCTCTGTGTCTCTCCCTCCCCCACTCCTTTCCTCTCACTCTCTCTCTCAAACTTGTGAAGTCTAGTTTGTGTTAGTTAACTACTCTTGGATGCGGGGTCTACCCTGGAGTGCGATCAGTATACCAGAGAGCACACCATTAAAGAAAACGGACTATGCCTTTCCCAGCAGCTATCTGACTCCGTGGTTAAGAGTACTTGCTGCTCTTCCAGAGTACCCAGGTTTGGTTCCCAGCACCCACATGGTAGCTCACAACCATATATAACTCCAGGGTTACATGTGGTGCACATAGATACATGTAGAACACTCCTGTACATACAATAAAAATAGACATGCAACAGTTTCAGGATCAAAGGACAGTGTCCTGTTGAAGCACCTTAACAGAGAATGAGAGCAGTCCCTGTTTTCTTCTTTCAGCACATTAAGGAGACACACTGATTCCCCTAGTACATCATGGAAAAGGCATCTGTTTTAGATTCAGAAATGTCTGCTCTTTAATCCTCTTAAAATCATTTATTTTTATGTGTAAGAGTGTTTAATGATGTCATGTATGTCTGAATGATGTGCAGGTAGCCTGCTGAGTCAAGAACACAGTCAGATCCCCTAGGACTGGAGTTCAGTTGCTTGTGAGCCACACCATGTGGTTGCTGGAAATCGAACTAGGTGCCTCTGGAAGAGCAATGCTCTTAACCACTGAGCCATCTCTCCAGCTCTGACTTAATGTCACCATGATCTTTTGGGGTAACTTTTATGAATAGCAGTTTGTCTATAAAGGTATGCCTTGGAGTGTGGTCCAGAGACTGGACCTGGTACATGCTTTTATTGGTCTGTATGAGAAAGTAAGCTTGTACTATCATGGGTATATAGCACATGATTTTCTTCCTTGATGTAGTCTAACTATGAAACAAACAAAAAAAAAAGGAAAAGAAAGTAAACTAAAGATGGATTTAGTTATATAATGGATTTTTTATTGTGATTTGGGCATTTTTCTTTTAATTTTTTTTTTATTTTTATGGGCATTGGTGTTCTGCCTACATGCATGTGTGTGTGTGGGTGTCAGATTCCCTGGAACTGCCATTACTGACAGTTGTGAGCTGTCATGTGGGTGCTGGAAATTGAACCTGGGTCCTTTGGAAGAGCAGCCAGTGTTCTCAACTGCTGAGCCATCTCTCCAGCCCCCATCAGGCATTTTTCTTATTGTGTGCTGCCAATTATATGAAAAATAAAAAAATCCTGATGTTCAGACCATAGAGTGAACCCCTATATCCCTTTTGCTGTAAAAAAGAAAGAAGGAAAACTTCAGAAACACTGTGCAAGTTTTCTTGAACCAGATCTCTGTATTAACTGTGACCAAGGCCTTGTGTCTGTATGCTGTCATCTTCAGCTCTCACATTTATATGCCATTTTAAAACGTTACCATTTACCAAGATATTGGACATTCATTATCTGAGCTTCCTGTCCATGGTAAGGGTTTGAAGGCAGCATTTTTTTAACAAGTTTTGTACCCTCAGATTATGTATGGAAATAACTTTATAAATGTGACATTATCTTAATGTTTTAGTGCTTGACATACTGAATGTATTTAAATGAGAATATTTTTCCCTGAAAAAACACCTGTAGTTGTAAATTTAAACATGTTTGTGGTAAGTTTAAAGTAATTGCAATGATCGGGCATAGTGGTACATACCTGTATTCCCTGCATTTGGTAGGCTGAGGCCAGAGGATTGGGAGTTTGGGGCCAGCTGATGCAGCACAGTAAGACTATCTCAAAAAAAAAAAAAAATTACAGTATAAGATTTTAAAGATGGAAACACAGGAAGAAGTCAGAAGAAATTATAGAGCTTGAAAATGTTGGTGTTCTGTGTGGTAAAATCTTTGGTTTTTACAGGTGATACCATGTTGCATTATCTGGTCCTAGTCACTGGATGTATGTCTGTTGGGAAAATTCAAGAATCTGAAGTTTTCCGAGTTACTTCCACTGAGTTTATATCACTCCGAGCTGATGCTTCAGATGAGGATCGCATTTCAGAAGTCCGTAAAGTTTTGAACTCAGGAAACTTTTATTTTGCGTGGTCTGCATCTGGAGTCAGCTTAGATCTGAGTCTGAATGCACATCGCAGCGTGCAGGAGCACACGACTGACAACAGGTTTTTCTGGTGAGTCTGTCGTCTTTCCTCCTTTGTAAGTGTGGACTGCTCAGTGGCTCGGAGATGTGGGCACAGTGGCCCACAGTGGCTGTTGTTGGAGAGAGCAAAGGATGGACGTGGTTGAGCACTTTTTCCTGCCCTGACCCGCAGCAGAGCATGGCAGGCACCTTGATGGAGTGGAATATGGTGTGAAACCCATCTGCTGCTCTTCCTGCTCTAGACGGAGTGTGCTTCACTGTGAGAAGTGCGCATTTGTGGAGTTCGTGGTGCACGTGGCCACTCTTTCCTAGTCTGTTCCGGTCTCATCGCTGACATTCGGTCATTCTAAGCGACATTCCCTTATTTTCAATGTTGAGATTGTTAAGTAGCTGGTCCTCTTTCTTTTTTGGTGCTGGAAATTGAACATAGTTTGTGCATGGTAGGTGGGTGAGCACTCCCCTAGGTGGGTGAGCACTCCCCTAGCCTGAGGAGATGGTCTCGATGCGAGAGCAGCAGGCTGTGAAGAAAGTGCCCTGGGACACTCAGCACTGCGGTAACTGAACCTGGGGTGGGTGTCGGGGTCTGTTAGGTGGGTAACTGAACCTGGGGTGGGTATCGGGGTCTGTTAGGTGGGTAACTGAACCTGGGGTGGGTGTTGGGGTCTGTTAGGTGGGTAACTGAACCTGGGGTGGGTATCGGGGTCTGTTAGGTGGGTAACTGAACCTGGGGTGGGTATCGGGGTCTGTTAGGTGGGTAACTGAACCTGGGGTGGGTATCGGGGTCTGTTAGGTGGGTAACTGAACCTGGGGTGGGTATCGGGGTCTGTTAGGTGGGTAACTGAACCTGGGGTGGGTATCGGGGTCTGTTAGGTGGGTAACTGAACCTGGGGTGGGTATCGGGGTCTGTTAGGTGGGTAACTGAACCTGGGGTGGGTATCGGGGTCTGTTAGGTGGGTAACTGAACCTGGGGTGGGTATCGGGGTCTGTTAGGTGGTGCTGCTGATGGGCTGTGTGACAGGCAAGCAGGCGTGGTGAGCAGAGCACGGGGACTAAGAGTTGGGTGGCTTCATGCAGCCCACTGGATTTCAGCGTGGCTAGTTACAGTGCTTCTGTTGTCTACAGCCAGCATCAACAGTGACTTCTCTTTCGTTAACGCATATAGAAGTTCTATCTCACCAGAAATGTACATTGTAAGGCCAAAGCTCTAAGGACACTGCTCTTGACCTCCCCTGGTCTTCAAAACAGTTGTCATCTGTATTTATCCACTCCCTCATTTTCATCATCACTTTTGGTTCTTGAATTGTCCATTCAGGTTTGACACATTTGCCCTGGCTGTCCGAGGGCTCCAAGTTGATGACCGCTTCAGGAGAGAAGAGGAAGCTCTAGTTACACCTCCTAGCTTCTATGGAGGAGTCTCGGCTCAAAGAGGAGAAATAGGGGAGTGGAGAGGGCTGTAGAGCACTGCCTGGCAGGGGCTCGGCCTTGGCAAAGGAGACAAGGAGCTGGGGAAGACAGGATGGGAAGCGATAGAGTAGCTGATGGGCATGCAGCCCTCTCCGCTCAACAAAGCCAGTGATGATGACATGCACTTTGTCAGGTATCCAGAGATGCGCCTTCCAGGGTGAGGCCTTTGTCAACCTGTGTGTGTGTGTGTGTGTGTGTGTGTGTGTGTGTGTGTGTGTGTGTGTGTGTGTGTGTGCTTTCAGGTGGAAAACGCTGAAGCCCTTTGAAGTAAATCATTATAATCCAGCCATGCTTGGGCAGCTGTCCATACCTTTCTGTTCCCTACTTACTTCTATCCCCAGTGTTAGATGGACAGAGACAAACCTTCCCATCACATTAGAAATCCAAGCAGGTACAATTGTGTTTACAAAGTTTAATTAGTAGGAATAATTTTTTTCTTTTTTAATTAAAGGTGGAGATTGGGACATGTTTAGATAACAACCTGAGGGAATTTTCCAGTGGTTGATAGGTCGAACTTGTGTTTTGCTAAAGACTGGAATACTTGAGTGTAATTTTACCTCGAAAAATGGAAGTTTTTAGAATTCACATCCTTATAGCTTTGTCTTTTTTTTTTTTTCTCTTTAAGATATAGTAAGCTTTGTAGCCAGACTGCCAAATACATCTCACAAAAACTGTGGTTTTATTTCATTGAGATTTTAAGTAGTACTGCTGCTACTCAAGACTTGGCATAATTGTAAATAGAGTAAAACAGTGCTTCTCCAGTAAAGGACAGTGTGAACTGAGAACATAGCAAAGACCTCTGCCTGCACATAATGCCTCAGATCCAAGCTCTGTTTAAACGAAGATCAACACATCCCTTGTCTGCTCCATGACATAGCCCTGGCTGTGACCTTTGGACATACTGCCTCATAATCTGTTGAGGTTTGCCTCGATCAGGGTAAATAACAGTAAAGTATGAGAGCATGAGTCATGGTATCAGCTGAATGATAATGGTCGTCGGATCTCACATTACCCCAGTAGTGGTCTCATCACTCAGTTGCATTCCATTTTGCTTTGTAAATAGATAGGAAGGGTTAGGATGGTACCTGGTCTGCTGGAACCGTGCATGGCCACCACCTAGTGGATCTCCACAGCAGCCTGTTACCTGAAGGGCAGGGAGTTGAGGATTCCTGCTCTTAACAGCTCTGCTCCTTGTTACTGCTGTTAATGACCCTGTGTATTCTGTGGAGGACTAAAATTCCAGTGGAGACCCCTGAAGAGCAGCCAGCAAGATGAGAAGGCTAAGTTGATAGAGCGCACTCCTCCGTTCATGCATTCGTCATTGTAACTCGAAATATTTTCATCTTTTGTTGCTTCGTCATTGGGCTGTGTGCTTGCGTGAATACAACATTTTTCCCTCCAAGTTTGTAAACCCAGCCCTATCTGATACCTACAGTTCTACAGTATTTAGGCAGGCCTGTGGGTGTGCTCAGTGATAAAGCACTTACCTAGCATGAGTGAGGCCTTGGATTCCAAGACAAAAACTGAAAAAATTTTGTTTGGAGACATAGAAAACACTATGCCCTTCCTTACATTGTGTGGAACATAGCTACTAGTTATGTCGGCTATTTAAATTTAATTAAAATATAGCCTTACAAAAGTCTTATATGTAAATCTCTTTAAAGTAAGATGTGTTTGTATAACCCCTTTTGGAACAAGTTAGGTTATGTGCATGTTCTATGAAGATAGACTAGAAATGTTTTACCAATCTAAAATCACAAGTTTTTTGTACAATAGGTCACCTGATTAAGAATCTGCATTTCAGTTTATAGCCTTGTCTTTAGTGTAGCAATTGTAAATAAATTGCTTTACTTGGGGAATCTTTTAATAATATTCCATTAATGTTTTAAAATGTATTGAGTGCTCTTTTGTACTTAGTAACCTAATCCAGTGTCTTCTTTTTCCCCTAGGAATCAGTCTCTGCATTTGCATCTCAAGCACTATGGTGTGAATTGTGATGACTGGTTATTACGCCTCATGTGTGGAGGAGTAGAAATCAGAACAATTTATGCTGCCCATAAACAAGCAAAGGCTTGCCTCATTTCAAGACTAAGCTGTGAACGAGCTGGGACAAGGTTTAATGTCCGGGGAACAAATGATGATGGTCACGTTGCCAATTTTGTAGAAACAGAGCAGGTACATAGTGTTTTATATTTCTTACCACATGTTGTAAGAGAGGCAGGAAATACCTGGAGTAACAGAGGGGTGAGAGGGAGACATGGGAAATACTGGAGTAACAGACCTGTGAGAGGGAGACACGGGAAATGCTGGAGTAACAGACTGATGAGAGGGAGACATGGGAAATGCTGGAGTAACAGACTCACGATGAGAGGGAGACAAAGGAAATGTTGGCGTAACAGACTCACAGTGAGAGGGAGACACGGGAAATGCTGGAGTAACAGACTCACGATGAGAGGGAGACACGGGAATACTAGAGTAACAGACTCACGGTAAGAGGGAGACACGGGAAATACTGGAGTAACAGACTGACAAATGAGAGGGAGACACAGGAATACTGGAGTACCAGACTCACGGTGAGAGGGAGACACGGGAATACTGGAGTACCAGACTGGTGAGTGGGAGACACAGGAAATGTTGGAGTAACAGACTCACGGTGAGAGGGAGACACGGGAAATACTAGGTAATAGATTTACCTGAATGCAAATACATTTTGGCATGTATAATGTTGATGTTCATGGCTTCTATTGGCCTAAGAAAGGCTTCTCTAGAACAAACTTAAACAATTATGTAATAATAATTAAGTAATGTGATATGCATTTGACAATGCATACATTGTCAGTGCTATACATTTGACAATGAATTTTAAAATCTTTAATTATAGAGCAAGATGGCTTCATAAAAATATTTTTTATGTGAAAATAAACCTAACACGTGCTACCTAAAATTTTAAAGTTATAACATTTGGCTGTGGAACTATGTAATTATAAAATTTCAGGCTATAATACAGCCCAACTCAGATCTTCAAATTAGGTTTTGGAAAATATAAAAAGCTAAGGAACAAATTGAAAGAAGTATAAGGATATATGTATATAACACTGAGATTTAAAAGTTTCTTTTTTAAAGTTGTGATTCTTCAATTTTATTGTTTTCTTGATCAATATTATCATTATCTGAAAAAACTTAGCATCCTGTTTTTGATTACTTTGATCAGAATAGTCTGCATATGAGCATTCATTACACAGCTTGTACAGATTTCAGTAGCTGCTTTTCTAATATAGAATTAACAGGTTTTTTCCTTTGGAATTCTTTCCCTTTTTTGTAGGTTATATACTTAGATGACTCTGTTTCTTCCTTCATACAAATCCGAGGATCTGTTCCATTGTTCTGGGAACAACCAGGGTTGCAAGTATGTGCCTGTTTGTTTGTTTTCTTCTTTGAAATTTTCCATATTGTCCAAATTTCCAACCTGGTTCTTCAGTTTACCATCATTCTGTTGTGTGTAATACTAGACTCACACTGAGGACCTGAGGAACATCTTATCTTGGACAACTTCCCTTTCGGTTCTGCGTTAGTTGCTTTTATATCACTACAGTGATTCACTGCAGTTATCCCAATCTTATAAAGAAAAATTTTATTTTGGCTCATAATTTCAGAGATTGGAAGTTCAGACTCATTGGTTTGGCAACTGGTGAAGCAGTGTGACACTCGATGGCATTACCATGGGGGTTTATATGGAAGGCAGAGAGCACATCTTCAAACAGAAACCAAAGATAGAGTCAGATATATTCGACTCAGGCTTCTATAACTACTTGGCTCCCATAAGAGCACCCAACAGGAAACCAGCATTCCCTCCGCAGGGCATCTTTCCCAATAATCTTAAGACTCCCGTGAGGCTGTACTTCTCCACAGTTCCACACCATCACTAACACTGCCACCCTGGGTACCAGACTTCCAAAGCATAAAGGCCTGACAGACAGACAGACCACTTTCAAACCATATAACAAAGCTGTAGCAACTCAGGAGCCTGCTTAATTTGTTAAATTTCAAGGATTTTTTTTTAAGTGTTTTCATTATTTTAGTGTAAAATGACTTAGATTCTTTAAGCAGGAGAATTTGGTAGCTTTAAACAAAACAAAAAACCGAACTATTCAGACTCTATTTACAACCTTGTTCTACCATTCCTAGCTAGGTGATCTTGGACAAGTGATTGAATTCCTCTTTCTGTCTCAGTCTCCTCATCCATAAAATGAGAATGATGATACACTGTCTCCCTCCTGGGGTTCTTCTGAGCACCGAGTGAAAACCACTTCAAACAGTGCCTCGCACGCAGAAGCACATTAGGATCAGCCATTGCTGGTTTTAGTGATGTGTCTGTGACTTTGGCTCTGTAATTTGTGATGTCCTGTCATCTTTAGGATATTCCTTACAGTTTTTAACTTCATTTATAAAAATATAATTGCCTCATCTTTATAAAATGTTTTTAAAAATATAAGGTTATGATATTAAATTATTTCCAGAAGTATAATCTTACATTAATTGTAATGAGAAGTGCTTAGGCCCTCAAGTGTATGTCCACTGTAGGCCTCTGGTAGAGTATGTCTCAGTTAGTATTATGAAACAATACAGGAAAAAAGTCTTGCTTCTCCTTTTGCTGCTAGTTCATTCTTACATTCTAAGTGGGGTCACTGTGCAGAGAAACTGGGGGCCTCTGAATTTTTTCAATGTTACAGTCTGTTACAGGCCTACAGTTTAAGGGAGGCCAAGGGCTAACAACACAATGAATACTTGTGCTTCTAAAGTTCCTAGTTCTTGTCAAGACTGAATGGACTGTTGTGTACTATTTTTTGGAGGGTGGTGGTTTTGTTTGTTTGTTTCTGATTTTGTGTTGTCTTGGCTGGCCTGATCTCTGTGTGTAGACAGGCTGGCCTTGAACTCACAGAGATCCACCTACCTCTGTGTCCTGAGTACTGGTTTTCAAGGTATGTGCCACTATGCCCAGCCAGGTGGAGACTCTCTGTTTTAGGCACCGGGCAGCTTGACTGAGAAAATACTGGCCCAGCCTCTCTTTCTTAAGCTTTTGTGGTCTTTGCTGGATAGTCAGAGTGTTTGCCTCAAGAACAGCCCTGAAACCCCAACCTGATGCCAGCTTAAGCTTCTGTTTGGGGACAGACTAAAGTAAGGGGTTCCAGTGGTTGATTTCTAGACCCTGTGCTGTCCTAATTCCATGTCACTTTACCGTGAAGTTCAGAATCACAGTGTTAGATGATTTAGTGCATCTGGGGTCTGAATAGCTACGTTAAAGGATCCTCCCAGGATTGGACTTTCCTCTTTGCTTCCTCCTTTTCCTCTGTGGCCTCCCCTCACAGGCAGTCTTGCCCACTAGTGTTCTCTGGTTATGGACTGAATGTTAGTTTTATGTGGCGCTGTGTTATTCATTAGGTGGCACTGTTTGCCGTGAGAGAAAAGCCATGAGGTACGACAAAACCCACTATAAGAGTTTATTAGGAGAAGGAACAGAGGGGAATGTGCTTTAGGCCTATGGAAGGTTGTGCATAAAGAGAGAGGAAGAAAGAGGAAGAAGGGGGAGGAGTCTGTGACCTGCTTTTTATGAATTCCGCCGCACATATATATAGGCTCGCATAGCTACTCCATGCAGTGCCCATAGATTGCGTGATCACACTGTGCGCACATTATGCGATCACGCAGGACATGGATTATGTAGGACATAAGGCCTCTTGCTTGGCTGCTGAACAGTGCATGTGCGGTCATGTAGCAACACTGAAAACTCTGGGGTTGTAAGCCATGCATTTCTTCATAGAAGTAGTGAAATTTGAGTCACTGAGCTATGTTGTTGTTTTTTTTTACTTTTGGGGGAGGCCTGCCTCCCAGCTCCCAAATAAATCGCACACAGAGGCTTATGCTTACTTATGAATGCCCAGTCTTAGTTTGTCTCTGGGCTTTTCCTGTTTTTTTTTTTACGTCTGTAAATCTTACTCTTACTCCAGGGCTTGCTGGTTGTGTAGCAGGTGGCTGGCCCCTGGAGTCCTCCTCCTCTGGCTGCTACTGTCCTTCCTCCCTCCATCTTTTTCCTCCTTCTATTTATCCTCTCTGCCTGCCAGCCCTGCCTATCCTTTCTCCTGCCTTGCTAATGGCCAGTTCTTTATTAGACCATCAGATGTTATAGACAGGCACAGTAACACAGCTTCACAGAGTTACACAAATACAACATAAACAAAAGTAACACACCTTACAATAATATTCTACTACAGAGATAGTCTTTTTGTTTTGTTTTGTTTGTTTTTTAATTTTTCAAGACAGGGTTTCTCTGTGTAGCTTTGCACCTTTTCTGGATCTCGCTCTGTAGACCAAGCTGGCCTCGAACTCACAGAGATCCACCTGCCTCTGCCTCCCAAGTGCTGGGATTAAAGGCATAAGCCACCACTGTCCGGCCAGAGATAGTCTTAAGAATTCTACTAAATCATTACTTAGCTGGCCTATTGTTGACTGGTGTGTGTGTGTTGTGGGGCGGGGGACACAGACAGGTGTGCCTGAGTCTGTTTCTCACAGTTATTTAGTTCAGTAGTTTCTAAAGTCAACCTTCCTTTGAATAAGAATAGATTGTTCTTTGGTTTTGTTTTGAGAAAGGTTCTTGCAACAAAGGCCTGACTGGTAGGGTACTCTCTGTGTAGCCCAGGCTGGCCCTAAATTTGTGACAGTTATCCTGCCTCAGCCTCTTGAGAATGGATTCTTTTTGTGAATATAATTTGTACTAAAACATTTACTCCACTGTTCTAAAATAGTGGTAATAAAGGAATGAAAATATATGATTTATTTTTAAGAAAGTATAAAAATAGATAATTGATTTTCAAAAATGAATTAACTGTTCTGTGGAACCAAACTAGGATTCTTGCTTTGGGGGTGTTGTGAATGGTTGTTTTATGTTTCATGTATTCTCAGGACTAGAGGGTATTTTAGGGACCCAGTTTGTTCATTTGTTATGGTGGTTTGCTGTCTAGAGCTTTGTCTAGAGCTTGCAATGCTCTTGTCTATCTCCTGAGCACTGGGTTTACAATGTAACACTATTAATTGAACTATGGAATTGAACAAGCATAGCAGAGTTTATTTTCTGTCTTGTTTCCTTTCTTGCTTGCTTAATGATATGGCAGCTCTCTTCCCTGACCCCCTTTCCTTTTTTTTTTTTCCTTTTTTTTTTTTTTTTTTTTTTTTTGGTTTTTCGAGACAGGGTTTCTCTGTGTAGCTTTGCGCCTTTCCTGGAACTTGCTTTGGAGACCAGGCTGGCCTCGAACTCACAGAGATCCGCCTGGCTCTGCCTCCCGAGTGCTGGGATTAAAGGCGTGCGCCACCACCGCCCGGCTCCCTGACCCCCTTTAACAAGTCACTTTGTTCATACATTAGCAGGAAAGAGTTCTAGCCTCAGAAAAATGTTCACAAGTAAATGTCGGGCATCTGTTAGGTCTTTCCAGCCCTCCTCTTGCCTGTCTGAGCAAAGAAATACAACCCATGTTAGTAGATACGTCCCATCTTGTTTTTTCCCTAGCACAACATTTTTAATTCTGCAAAATGTGCTGTTATTATGGTCATGTGGCAGTGAGGTCAGCCTGGAGGGTCTGTGTCTGTAGGAAGGACTGACTTTCCTCTTTATATTGGGGGAGGGGAGGGAAGCATGCACATTTGCACCTCACTTGGGTCCAGGATCCCCTCCCTGAGACTGCAGCTACAGGCATTTGCAGGCTACCAGACATGGGTCCTAGGAGCTGAACTCGGGTCCTGTGGAAGAGCAGCAAGTGCTCTGAAGCAGGAAGCTCCAGGAAGGAAGGGTTTGCTTTGGTTTGGTTGGGTTTTTAACGTGTTTGGAGTCCTTACTGTAATAGAGAAAAAGACATGTGAATGTTGTAGTGGTTGGCTGCTTAGAAAAGTAGAAATTTTGGTCAGGAAATGTAAACATCTCATCTGAACCTTTTTTTTAAAATTAGTTTACATTTCTATAAACTTAAACAGGATATATTTTTGTTTGAAATAAGGTAAACAGTATATTTGAAAACACTTAAAAATCTTGTCCTTCAAAAAATTGCTATTAATGAGTATTTCTTAGTGGGTGTAGCTTGTTCTTTTTCTTTCTTTTTCCTTTTGTCATTTACAGCATGCATGACACTACAGTCATGTCACTGGTCCCTTGAACATTACTTAACTATGCACTAAGAGTATAGAGACATTTGAGAAACAGGACATATTAAAGATATAAAAAGCATTCTATTTCAACTATCTTTTTCTAGTTTATTTAATATATGATTAACTTAGCTACCAAATCGTAAATAAAGCACAATTTGTGGTGTCAACCAAATACTTATCACAAAGTTCTTACTGTCTGCTAGCTTCTTCCGGCAGCAATCAACTCCTGTTTACCTTGATAAAGATGCCCTTCATTTCAAAAGTCAGGGTGTTGGGGCTGGAGAGATCGCTAAGAGGCTAAGAATACTTGCTGTTCATGTAGAGGATCCAAGTTGGGCACCCAACATCCACACGGTGGTTCTGCCTGTAACTCCAATTTCCAGGGTGTGATCCTCTCTTCTGACCTCATGCACATGCTACACATACATGCATGCCATTGCTCACGTGTACACATAAAACGTGCTTCTGTAAAACAGTCAGAATGGTAAAAAACCAAGTTTGCTTTGGTTTAGTTTGGGTTTTTATCTCTTAAACCAAGTTACCTCTGTTGTCTGGGTGGCCCAGGCAGAACTTGAGCTCAGATTCTTCTTTGTAAGACTCTATAGTAGCTTTATTTATAGGCATGAACTGCTATTCGTGGCCAAAAGCTAAGATTTATCTTAAAGCAGCAGAGAAGATGGTTATTTAAACATTAGATTTTATTAAAACCACTTATGTTTGGGGCTAGAGAAATGACTCAACAGTTAAAAGCATCCACTGCTCTTCTAGAGAACTCCCAGCATCCACACCTGATGGCTCACAACCTCCTGTAACTCTAGCTCCAGGAAATCAGACACCTCTGACCTCCGAGAACACTCATACTCATGTAAACATAACTACACAGAGACTCATACGCATAATTAAAAATAAAATGAATATTTTTAAAAGCACTTCAGTTTTTCAGAACAATAAAAATGCTGCAGAAGAGTGAATGCTTATACTGCCATTTAGATGGTATCTAGCAAAATTAAAAGTATAACAAATAGTAAAGTCAGATTATAATCTATATTAATTTTACAAAAATTCCACTGAGATTCCATATTAGGAAAAGAACCAATACTATCTAAATTTGCTAGCCCTTAGTTCTGAACTGTTAATGATTTGATGAGTTAAGACTTTAAGAACAAAAGTAATGATGCATTGGACCATCGAGATGACTCAGCAAGTAATGATGCTTGCCGCACAAGCCTGAAGGCCTGACTCCAGTCCCTAGGGCCCAGTAATGACAGAAGAGGAAGCCGACTTCACAGAGTTGTCCTCTGACCTCCACGCATGGACTGTGGCATGTCTTGTGTTGTCCCCCCCCACACACACACATTATACACATACACATGATAATGGCAAAACATTATTTTAGGAAGCTAAAAATCTCAGATGCATTTCACTAATGTATGAAATTTTTAGTGACTGGAAATCTTTACTCCTTCAGAAAATATTCTGTATCTGCTGAAACACACCACCCATCTAATAATTAAATAATCACTCAAGATTTAAGTAAAGCATCTTTGTTACTTTTTGTTATTTTGGTTTTATTATTTATTATCATATTTTTTTGTTTTTGTTTTTTTGAGACAGGGTCTCTCTATATAGCCCTAGCTGTCCTGGTACTCACTATGTAGACCAGGCTGTCCTCAAACTCATAGGGATCTATCTGTCTCTGTTTCTCAAGTGTTGGGATCAAAGGTGTGCACCATGTCCAGCTGTTTTGTTATTTATTTATTTGTTTTTATTTATTTATTTATTTATTTATTTATTTATTTATTTATTTATTTATTTTTAAAAGGGCCTCACAGTGTAGCTCTGGCCTGAATCTTGCTGTGTAGACCAATCTAGCCTTGAATCCAGTGGCATTCTTCTTATCTCTGGGTCCTGAGTGCTATAATTAACAGGTGTACCACTATGCCCAGCTTCCTTTTGTGTCATGGAAATAAAAGGAATTTTGTGTGTTGTGTGGGTGTCTGCCAGAGTCCAGCTCCGACCTGCTCCCACATATCAAAGGGTTCTTGGGTGGAGGAGAGAGGAATGAGGAAATATTAGACAGAAAGATAGACCTAGCTGACAAGAGGAAAGAGACACAGGATAGCTTTGGGAGGGCCTGGGTCAATACCCAGCTGCCCAGAGCTTTATTCAAAAGGGCTTATTATGATATGCCAAGGGGAGAGGCAAAAGACCTCCTCCTTGCAAGATCAAAACACACCATACAACCAAGTGTAGACCCTTCCTAACACCTGATAAACACGCCCCTGGCCATTTTGCAGCCCTGCTGGGTAAAGCAAGCTCAGATTCTCTGACCCTGAGTAATTTGGGCCTCCACAGTGTTGGCTGTTTCAGTTTATGTATATTTTTCTTTCTATTTTTATGAGGCCTTATAAGTTATAAAACTTAGAAAAACCGCCGGGCGGTGGTGGCGCACGCCTTTAATCCCAGCACTCGGGAGGCAGAGCCAGGCGGATCTCTGTGAGTTCGAGGCCAGCCTGGTCTACAGAGCGAGATCCAGGAAAGGCGCAAAGCTACACAGAGAAACCCTGTCTCGAAAAAAAAAAAACTTAGAAAAACCTTCTCTGCTAATATGGTAAATTTAGATGTTTCACACAACAAATAATAGCCAAGCTCTGATGTTACTTTTGAAGTCTAAGTTTGGTTTTGTTTTGTTTTCAGTCTGTAGAGTGTTGTATTGGTATTATTAGTGTGTGTCGGCATGCCTGGCCATTGTTCTTTTTACATGCGTTTTCGTCTTAAAACTAGGAGTAGGGGGACTTCCAGAACTCTAAACAAATTGTCATGAGTGAAGCCCAGGCCTTTCATCTACTGTGTTCCCTAAATGGATCACTTGGATTGCAAGTGGTGATGTTTCTTTTGTCTTGATAGTGGTTTGGGTAATGATTAAATCTTTTTCTTGCTTAAGGTGGGATCCCATCGTGTCCGTATGTCGAGGGGATTTGAAGCCAATGCACCTGCTTTTGACAGGTAGAACTGGTGATTTTTCTGTAGTACTATGAGGCTCATACTGTATTTGTTTTGTGTGGTGTTGCTGTATATAGCAGAACCTTTTATTATGTTTCCTTTTCTTTGTTTTTAATTGCTTTTTGTTTTCAGTCGTACCTTTTATCCTCATGGATACAGGTGTGCAATACCACCTTACACTGATGTTTTTCTTGAACATACATAAATATGTTAAAGTTTAATTTATAGATTAGATACAGTGTGAGAGATTAACAAGAACTAATCATATTATATGCATTTTTGAAATTGTCAATAAATAAAAACTAAAGAAATTAGAGAATTATAACAGTATACTATACTAAAACCAATGCACGAATGTAGCATCTCTCTGGAAAGAGTAAGTACAGATGTTAGGGTTTTTTTTGGATTGAGCTCAGGTAACAGAAACTGGGGGGAGCAAAGTCCCAGATAAAGGAGCCTTCAAAGGCTCAGCCTAGTCAGATAGCCCTCTTGAATACTCCTCAAGTATGTGGTCATCAGAGGGCCAGGTGGGCTGTGTCTTGGCATCCATAAGTCAGAGGGGAAATTGTACTTACTGAATCTTATCCATCCAAGGATGTAGAATGGATTTATATCCAATTTAGCAAATTTTACGAGTTTCTTGTTTACTGAGGGAAAGGCTGTAATTTTAATATGCTGTTTCTTGTCTTTTGTCAATAGGCATTTCCGAACACTTAAGGATTTATACGGTAAACAAATAGTGGTGAATTTGCTTGGATCTAAGGAAGGCGAACATATGCTAAGTAAGGCTTTCCAGGTAAGTGCAGCTGCTTTCTCTTCCATTCTGGCCCGTGGTCACCTAGAATGGAAATAGACAACAAAGTCATCAGACCCCCTAGGAAGGAAAGCACTTCCTAGACAAAGTTAGGGTTTGGTGATGCCTTTAATGCTCTGAGTCTATTAGAAAATAGCATAAGCAGAATACTTAATCAGTCAATGATGGATCAATGTAATTATATAAGATATGTAGGCTAGCTAGAAACCATTTTCTAAGATTTAAATTAGGAAGTCTGGTTAAGTGAAAACATAACCTAATTAGCTATTTTTTATGATTTTGAGAAAATTATTGTTCATTATGCTTTTGAGAGTGATATTTTTTTTTATCTTTTTGAGAGTGATATTTTAATGGTAAACTTAAAAGATACATTGAATGAAGGCATAAAAGATGAGCCTTTTAATCTCTGATTAGACTTGTTAAATGTTAAAAATCAAGGTGCTTTATTTTGGATTCTATAGTGGGTACTAAATTTGTATCATAACAACAAAACACTGGTGATTGGAAACTATTACATTTTCTAAACTGAACTAAAGTATTTATTAGATTCCCTGAATTAATTACGCCCTCAGTCTCTCAGGGATAGTATACGGGGCTTTAGACAATAAATGCCATTAGGTATCAAAAGTGATTGTCCCTTTTGCTGCCAGTGTCAGTGAAAGCTGTTTGGGGCTGGGTGAAATTTCAGAGAGCTCCCGAGGCAGCTTGGAGTGTAAGTGTGCAGTCTGCGGTGCCATAGCCACAGGCCGTTCAGCCAACACCGCTCGAGCGTCTACTTTCCACTTGCAGAGTCATTTGAAAGCTTCTGAACACGCTTCCGATGTCCACATGGTGTCTTTTGACTATCATCAAATGGTTAAAGGAGGAAAGGCGGAAAAGTTACACAGTGTCCTCAAGCCTCAAGTCCAGAAGTTTCTAGATTATGGATTTTTTTATTTCGATGGCAATGAAGTTAAAAGGTTTGACAGTTCTATTCCTCAACTCTTTAAATTGAGACTTTGCTACAACTTAAAAATCATTCTTAACATTAAACTGTTAAATTTTCTTTTTATATTGAAGTTTAAGATTTTAAGTATTTTTAATTCTTTATGCTAAGCTTGTTTTTCTCTAGCTTTCAACAAATAATAGTAAAAAGTTATGTCATCTAGAACAGTCTGTGCAACAGCAGTGTATTCGTCTTTGTGTCAGTAGCAGTGAGGGGTAGGATCTACGATTGCTTTTGCATTTGAGGAAAATGAGGCAAGGCTTGCTCCAGGTCACACAGCTAGAAACACCCGGGCTGCTGTTCACCTGCCTTCCAGACTTGATGCTGTCAGCAGCGCTAAGTTTAGCAGCTCTTCACACTAGTGAAGACCATTATATGCAAAGACAAGGAGACCTCCGCTTATTGCCTGATTAGTGTACCTTAAACCCTTAGTTTTTACATATGGAGTAAGACAAAAGTACGTTGGAAGGTTTAAGTTCTGATTATGGATTGAAGTAAACCTGTGAACAAAGCTCAAAGTTAATTGGCTTTTTTCAGATTGTATTTTCTATGTCACAATGGCTTTATGGGGCAGTCAAGAGAAAGGTCTTCTTGTTCTTGTTGGGAATAAATAATCATTCCCAAAATTCTTATTATTTTTGTGGAAAGAACTATAGGATTATAAACCTGAATGTATATTTAGCTCCTAACTATGGGCCTGATTAAAAATAAATCTGTGGTAGATATGTGATGGAAATGCACGACAAAACATTAGCAGATGTAGAATCTAGGTGTGTGCATAGGCACTATCGGTTTAATACTTTCATGAGTATTTGGTGCCTGAGTATGGTGACAATAGAAATGTGGAGCTAGAGAGGTAGGTACTCAGCTGTAACCATCTCTGTTGCTGTCCTTCATTGATGCTTTCTTCCTCTACAAACTAGCCATGTAACTTGATTGGAACTGTTGCAGGTGCCAGAGTGGTACAGTTCGAACAAACTGCTTGGATTGTCTTGATAGAACAAACAGTGTGCAGGCATTCCTTGGCTTAGAGGTAAAAACAAACAAACAAACAAATGCTTGTGCCATATGCATCCTGAGTGCTTTTGTAAACCTGTTTCTCAGTTGTATGAGTGATGAAGCTAAGCCTTCCTAGAGACTTCTGTTTCTTCACTTCTTGCCTTTCCCCCGCTCAAGCCCTGTGGTTTAACGCTTCCCTTCATCTCTCTTCAAATGGTCTGATAGCTGCCACCAGTTTTCTCCTGTTGTTCCTTACACTCCTGGTAGACACCTGCTTGGGTAATGCAGTGACCACTGCTTTTTTGGCCTTTCTCTTGAAACAGTTTGCATGGATCTGAACTTTATGTTGATATTTTCAAGATTTTATTTTAGGATGTTGAGAATCTGTTTTTACATGTACATTCCTATAGGGTTATATTTTTGATAGTTTGTAAATCAATCCAAGTGGGCGTTATCAAGTCCGTAGCTACAAAATCTAATTAATTAATTAGGAATCAGATGAAAATGCCAAAGCTAGCCAAAGTGAAAAGTGACCAGGGTTTCCTTTAAGGCCTTTAGAAGCTTATTTATTTATTAGGTTTATTTTACTGTTATTCACCAAGCTCAGTCTAGTATAGACACAGTCTCAGCTACTCAGTAAACCAGAGCAACCCCGAGCTTTCCCAGGTCTCCCCTGCCCAGTGAGTCAGGGCCAAAAGGAGGTCGTGAACTCACTTTACATTAGGTAGGACGTAGTTTTCAAACTCTCTAAAGACTCTCAGTTAATGATCTTAAATTTGGCCTGTGCCTTAGTTAATTGCAGACACTCAGCTTCTGTCTCAAGTGAAAGTCCAGTTGTATAAAGTTCTCTGGGGCACAGATATTTTATATAAGTAAATAAATTTTACTGTTTTGACTTTTGTTGAAACCTATCATTGACATTTATCTCTTTTTCTTAAAATATGACACATGAGATGTGAAAGAAGGCAGGTTGTAATCAGATGAATTCACATGGCTCAGGTCTGGTCGAAACCCAGGTTTTGGGTGACTGGATGTTTATTGGATCTGCCCAGGCTTAGTGAAGTTCTTAGACTTCAATTACCAAGTGTTCATTTCCAGTCTGTGTTAGTTGACTCTCACTATTGAAAGTGTGACATGAGAGTGTGCCCCTCTCATACAGTTGGTTAACCACTTACAAAATAACTTATAATGAAGTGAAATTTGTTTTTCCCACTTCTTCCAAGAGTGAAAGGTTTAACCTATAAAGGATACCCTGGGGGCTATTTTATGGCCCACGTGAACACAGAACAACTCTAGCGTAAGCCTGAGTAATAAAATGATCCTTCTGAGGGGCTTTTATATATCTCTAAATCTTTTGTAATTATAGATAATTACTACACCTAACAGATACGAAGGAAATGTAAATAGGAAGGAGTTCAGTAAAAGTGCAGGAGTCAGTAAGAGGAACAGACATTGCTTCCATGCTGCTGGAGTCCAAGCTAGAGCCATACCGAGTAAAGATCAGTAGCTTGTGTAATGCTTTTATTGCCTCTGGGATGGAGGGTTGTTGCCCAAAGGCCCTGTCCACTTGATCCCCCACAGTTCTTCTATACATGCCATCAGTGTAGACTCTATCCAGGAAGAGCTGCCATGACCTTTTCATTGCCCTTCTTCTCTTGCTCACCTAACCTCAATTACCCAGGTTTCCAGAACGAAGTCCGGAGCGTAAAGGTAGTGCGTATGCTTTTGTGAACTTGGTACCTATTTCCCTGTTCTCCAGCATACTGTGAATTAGCTAGATTCTCAGTGAGGGAGGCAAACTGTTCCGACTGCAGGGATGGCTACAACATTAATTGAGGGACATTACTTCTTGGATTTCCAAATTCACAGTCTCTTTTGAATCTACTGAAATGACACTTTACCTTAAAAAAACTACAAATTTTACCTTAAAAATTAAAATGGTAGTAAACATAGCCCAATAAAGTGTTAATACTTTCAGAATCCTGTATTTATAAATTTTAAGTTTAATTCTAATTGTTGTAAAAAGTCACATTACAGTGATTATACATTTAAATATAAATAATATATTTATATAAAAATATATTTAAATATATATTTACCTTAAATATCCTCATTTATCCTTCCAGATGCTAACTAAACAGCTGGATGCTCTGGGCTTAGCTGAAAAGCCTCAGCTAGTGACTCGCTTTCAAGAAGTTTTCCGGTCCATGTGGTCTGTGAATGGCGATTCCATCAGTAAGATATATGCAGGCACCGGAGCCCTTGAAGGGAAGGCCAAGGTAGATCCAAAGCTGTCATAGCATTAATGTCATCTCTCTCCTCTCTGGAACGTTGAAATGACTTTTAATAGTAGGTTTTAAGTTAGCAGGAGTCTGGTAGGGTTGCTGCCTCTAGCTTTCGTGTCCTCTCTGATCATCTTCCCACAGTAGTAGATTCTGATGATTAAATGCAGCACAGGTAATTCTTTAGTCTTAAGTGTGCTTTTGGAGATAATCCATCGTATATGTCCATAGATATTATTTTATATGGTTTAATATTGTGTATCTTACTTTTTATATTGTTTATATTGATTTTAAATAAGATTTTAAAAAAGTTCATAGTCCTGATAAATATCCTGCTCATTGGTCTCTGAGTCCCCTGCACTTGACACAGTGCCTCTATTTGGGAGTTATGTCACAAATAGTGGATGGACATACAGCCCACCACCAATTTATGCGAGAGTGCAGCGAACCCAGTATTACTTGGGCTTAATTGTTAACTTTGTACTTTCTGCTTGTTTTGGTTTTAAAAGGGAGCTATCATTGGAGTAAAGGGTGTGGTGTGGTCTTAATATGATGCTGAGTCTCATCAGGACTTGTAGCTGCTTGTGTTATCTTTAGGTTACTTTCCCATTTGGTACTTGGCCCTTGTTGTGGGATTTGGAGCTATGTATGTTTTATGATTCTATGTACTTCAATATTGTTTAACTCTTTAAGGAACCCTGGCCTTAATTTAACTTACCCAAAATCTCTACAATTCCTCAAATTATTTCTGGATAAAAGTGAGAACATTTAGCTAGGCGTGGTTGATGGGTGATGTCATTCTGTATGCTGTGAATGTGTTGCTCTGATTGGTTGATAAATGAAGCTGTTTGGCCAATGGTGAGGCAGAATAAGGTTAGGCGGGACATTCCAACTAGAGAGAGAGGAAGGAGAAAGACAGAGCAGAGGAGATGCTGCTAGCCGCCACCAGGAGAAGCAAGATGTAAAGAACCAGCCTCGTGTCAAAGTATAGATTTATAGAAATGGGTTAATTTAAGATGCAGGAGCTAGCTAGCAAGAAGCCTGCCATGGCCATAGTTTAAAAATAATATAAGCCTATATATGTTTATTTGGGTCTAAGTGGCTGTGGGACTGGCAGGTGAGAGAGATTTGTTCCGACTGCCGGCCAGCCGGGACACAGAAAAACTTCTGACTACATATGGTGGTTCATACCTATAAATTCCAGCATTGGAGAGGCTGAGACAGGAGGATTGCAACAAGTTCAAAGCCAACCTAGGCTATATATCGAGTACCAGGCCTGACAAAACCTAGTTTAAAACAAAACAAAACAAACCACCAAAACAGTCAGCAGTCAGCAAAAAGAGAAAAGGTTAGCCATTTTCATGGTCTCCTGAGCAGTAGCACAGCAGCTGAGGTTCTGTGAAGAGTATTCCTCATCTCAAGTCTATGTTCAGTCTGCTCCTCTGCCGCAGGCGTCAGCCTCACCTCAGATAGGGATGTTATAGGTCCTCACTCCCTAAACACCGCTTTCTTTTGAAAACCTGAAATTGCTTGACTTCATTTATTCCTTTTAAATAGTATGATTTGTGTTATTAAAATCTGATTCTCCCACTGTTGCTTTAAAATAGTCTTTTTTATGTGCCTCTGCCTTTGTTTCTGCTGCGACTAAGACAATATATGTACAGAAGTTGCATATATTTTCAGTATGCTTATCTTTAACATAATGTATAGATACGGAATCTTTATATATTAATATTAAATATACTAGCCTGAATTGAGCTAAAATCTAATACCTGAACTGCTCTTTCTTTTCCTTTCTTTCGGCTCCTTTTGATTAATTGCCTGATAATGAATGGTGAGTGTTCTTTTTTCAATAACATCATTTTATGTATTACATGACAAAAATAATGATTTAATGCCATATTACATTTGGTGGCATATAAGAAAATTGGCTCCTTATTCTGAAATTTGGCCTGTAATTACTGTTATTTTTCAAAGGGATGAAAGAAAGTTACATATTCCAAACCAAAGTTATTTTTGACAGTCAAAAGTCTATAGGATCAAAATACTGTCTGATAGTATGCCTAAGTGAAATACCTGTTCATTAAAAGTTGTAATCAACCCTCTCAGAATTTGAATAGGTATTTATTTTTTAGATTTATATTTGTATAAGCAACAAAATATCTTTAATGTGTAAACTAAAATTTTTGTATTTATATTTATGAGATGTAATTACAAATTTATTTTTTAATTAGACCTTTGATTTTAGGTTTAGTTTTGTTTTTAACTAGCATTAAATTATTGGGGAGCAATTTCACTTTTAAGTATAAAAAAGTATTTAGAAGGTTTTCTAAGAGTTGTAAGTATCATTCTTTGTCTCTACTGCCTTTCCTCATTCAGCCCATCCCCACATTTAAAAGTTATGATGTAGAAAGGAATCTTAATTCAAATAAATATACAATCAAGTACTTACTGCTCAATATATTATTCGATGGAGTTGTGGTGTTTAGTTTATTATTTTCTTTGTGCAGACTGTAAGGGAGAAGTTACAATTTAAGGCCTTTCAATGTAGTTATGCCTTTAAAAGATCATTATTAGGACCTTTTTAATACTAGAATTTTATGAAATCAATTTAAAAATTGCAGAATACATATTGAGTAAAATCAGCAGTATTTCGAGCAAGGGCCCATGCTCCTTTCTCCCACAACAGGCTGGAAAGTTGAAAGATGGTGCTCGCTCTGTCACCAGGACCATTCAGAACAACTTCTTCGACAGCTCCAAGCAGGAAGCCATTGATGTTTTGCTCCTGGGGAATACTCTAAACAGTGACTTAGCTGACAAAGCCCGAGCACTTCTAACCACTGGAAGTTTGCGTGGTATGCACACTTAATACTTTACTTACTTCATTTTTTTATAGTCCTAGAAAGTCCAAAAAAGTAAGTGTAAACTTAACGACATGAGTAGTTTTTAGGCTGTCATTGATTTATAGCATTTTGGAAGGGATTTCTGTACAAGTGGTTTTTTTTGCAGAAGTATTCTCCAGTTAAGTTTTTCTCTTGTCGAGTGTTAATGCTATTAGTAATACTTAGCCACAGACTGGCTGGATTTTTTTTCTGAACACTATGTGTACTTTCTTCTGCAGATTATGACTGGGGGCTATATGTGCTATATGTGCTGCTAACAATCCAAGGCAGGTTTCTATACAGTGAAAGCTAGCACTGAGAGCATTTGGTAACCCAGTTAGATAGGCAGTGCTTTATTGAGAAAGGCCTTTATCTGTACTGGTTAATTTTTCATGAACACCACAGATGTTTCTGTAACCACCTTCTAACTTTGGTTGTTATTATTTGAATCAGTATAAGTCATAGTAACAGTTTAAAGTAATATGTGTTATTGGCCACTAACTGCTATTTTCTGTTTTAATATTTGACATAAATATAAAGTAGCCTTTTCTCCCAAGGTAGCTTTTTACCTTTTATTGCATATCTTTTACTAATGTTTAAAAAAATTGGAACTTTTCATGTATTAAAACATGTGATCGGTTGGACCTCCTGCCCCTCCCCAGCTTTATTGAGGTATAATTGACAAGTTCAGTTAGCTTTCTAGTTCCATTCTCTCCCATTAGGACTATAGCACTGTGGGCTTCTTTTCCTGTTAGCCCTAAACCTTCCAACACACACTCTCCACACGGGGAAGTTCTTAGAATTTTTAGTAATGTCCTCTTGAGACGGCCCTACGGGTGATTGTAGACTGTCAGATTTCATTACAAGCAGCTTCTCAGGAATGGGTAAGCAGGCATGGGGGCTGGGACCTACTCAAACTTAAAAAAAAAAAGTCTGATGCTTACTACATCTTCGAACTTCAGACTTACTGATTTCTGTTTTGTCACCTCTCTCCACCTGTGCCTACTCTGATGTGGAGGCATTAATAAGCAGCAATTGAAAGTAAGTGTGTGGAGGAAGATATGAAGCAAAGAACCTCAATACCCCCCCCCCCCCAGGATAAGCATCAGGTGTCTAGGTTCCTGCACATCCCACCATGCTGTGCCTCTCAAAGCAGTCGGCTCCACTGCCATGCTCGTTTTGAGACTGAGAACTTGGTCCATTGTGGTTGATACATTAGGTAATGATGTGAACATGATGCTAATTTTGCATGAGCTTATGCTTGATTTTGCTGGCAAGCAACAATAGGCAAATGCAGAAAACTACTCAACAGAACCAATATGGGTTCAGATATATAAAACATACATACCCAGGTGCACACACCTTAAACACCTTCCCTTCTGCAGTTCACCATGTGCTTCGAGCCAGACCCACCCACATCTGATGTTTCAACTTCCCATCCATTTTCTAATAACCCTTCTGCTACCATTTACAATTGCTATGCCCTTTTCTACAAGCCAGCTTCATATTTTTAAAGATGTAGTGCTTTATATTGTATAGTCATGCATTTCATAACCATTTAATGTACATAATACTATGCTGCTTTTAAAATTAGGTTCCTTTCTTCTTTGGTGTGTCACTTTTGACGTTTTTATGTGTGCTGCCCCAACCTCACTTTTCCCATAAGCCTTTACAGCCATGGGACTTTGCATAGTTTTATATAGTGTAGTTGATGGTTTTAGAATGCACTTGTCTTGTTCTAGCTGAACGATGGTACTTCTCACCTGGTGAGTCCCAGAAAAGAAGATTCAAAGTTATGTGTTAAGACATACATTTCCATGTCTTTGGTGTCCTTCAGCCTCTTAGATTTTCACACACACACACACACACACACACACACACACACACACACACACACGAGCATCTGGAAGAGGAGGACCTTCACATCGTGAAGCAATGGACATCACTGAGTCAGTGCAGACACATGGGTTTGTATCAGTTATTGTTATTTATTGTCTTTGGTGTTATAGCTTCAAAAAACAAATTCAAGCTGTCAACATGAAAGAGATGAGTAAGGCTATCTCAGGATGTCCTTCGGGTGACACGCCAGGCCTTAAATGTAACTGGTTGTTTTACTAATGACTCTTTGTTTTCTTCTTGATGCATCCATAGTTTCTGAACAGACATTGCAGTCAGGTACAGTATAGAAAAATCAATGTATACATAAAAGCAACCTTTTCTTTATTTTTCTAAAGTTGATGTTGTGCACAGACAGATATAATTTTATCTTCATGATATTACAGGATAAATTAGTGTTTTGTTTTACTCTGAATAAAAACTTTAAGTTTGCAGAAATTAAGTACTTTATTCTGGAAGAAATGTACAGGATTCTTTGTCTTCTGCATCACAGGCTTCTGCCAATGAAGGATAATTCAGCTAGATTAAATTTCACTTTATATTTCCTTGAATGTTATTATTGTTAGATCCTGCTCTTCATAGGCTGCAGAAAAAGGTCTAAATGTGGCTATTTTGCATTGATTCAGATAGTGCCCATGCTGTTTATAACCACTCAGCATTCGTTCTTTTTCTTTGTGGATGACTTGTTTTCTTTAACTCCAGACCTGCACTAAAATAAGATCTAAAACCTGTTCACTTTAGACAACAGCATCAGTTCTGTTCACCAAGTCAGCAGGTGCATTGGGAGCACTTGATACAGCTCCTCTGTTTCTTGCCTGTGTATTCATAGGAATTTCGTCTCTTCGTTCTCTGTGGTTTATGGTCTTGTCTTTAAAGGTGAATCTGTAGCAAACAGGACAAAGCAAAGTCTTGCCAGAAATTTAGCCAAAAATAATATCTTCTCTTCCCCTTCCTAGGGTGTTTTGCCTGGTTACCATTGTGACTCTTCTGAGAAACTGTTGCTTTTTGTTTTAAAGGAAGTGGGGAGGGAGCACAGGCTCTGGGTTATATAACGAACATCATTTCTGTAAGGGTATGGTGTTTAGAGACAGATATCTGTGGTTTTAGCAGACTTATTTCTTTAAGCACATTAAGGTGCCAAAACATGTTAAGAATAAACTAGGATTATGCTTTACCTTCTTATTCTATTTATAAAGTGATTTGACCTTATTTATTCAAGCAAGATGGCAGGCTGGTTTTGTTCACATGGCATTACTGTTTTGCTCACTTCTTTAAGTTGTACAATCACAGAATTGACACCTTGGCATTTAGTAGATTTTAAATGGTGTTTTCACAGTGATAATAATTTTAGTTTAAAGTTCAGTGATATCCCTAATAATAGAGAATAGTCACTTTATTGACAGGATACAATAAATGGTCTGTTTTTGTTATCACCAGTCACCTCTATAAATAATTAAATCAGATAGGAAGAGGTTTAGAAGTGTACACATCTGCTCACAAGACAATGGAGTGTAATGAGTCTTTCTCTGTCCCGCCAGCCAGCTCCCAAATAATGGCACGGAGACTTATTATTAATTATGAAAGCTCAACCTTAGCTCAGGCTTGTCTCACTAGCTCTTATAACTTAAATTAACTTGTTTATATTAGTCTACACTTTACCTCATGTCTTGCCCATCCTGCTTCCTCTATGCATCTTGCTTCCCTGAACGCCTAGATTCTTCTTTCTCTTTCTCTTTCTGCCTGTGCCTCCTGCCTAGCTATTGGCTGTTCAGCTCTTTATTAAAGCAATCACAGCAATATATCTTCACACAGTATACAAATATCCCCCCCCAACAATGGGGACATGGTTATCATCCAAATAAATCTTCAGTTCCTTCAGGGGGGTCAGAGGTCAAAAACTACATTCATGATACTAACGTTTTACCTTTCCCAGTCCCAGTTGCTCAGAATATTGCTAGTTTTTGATATCATAAAATAATAAGTAACATAGTAAGGTGATATTATTTGGTAAAATATGAAAGATTATATGACAATAAGGGAGGACAGTGGTCCTGAAAGGCATAGTGCAGTTTTAACTAGGGGGATCAGAGGAACCTTGTTGAACAGCAAAGAGCTGGAGGAGGAAGGGATGAGTGTTGCAGGCTGTGGGAAGTGCAGTCTGACTGCTTTGGAATAGGAGCAAGCCTGAAAAGGAGGCAGTGCCTAGTGGTGAGTGAGCAGAGGGGCCAGAACCGAGGACAGAAAGAGCAGAGACCCTGCAGGTCACTGCTAAGCACTTGAGCCCTTCTCAGTGAGCTGGGAAGCATTCGGTAGTGATTTCATGTGAGCCTCTCATTCTCTTCCCTAATGCTCATCTTTGTGAGGGAGCCATTGTTCATCAAGCCACCTTTCAATAGTTTGAATCTTAAATGTAGATGTTTTTATTATTTTTGTTTAGGGAGAATAAAACTTATATTTTAACCATACTCTTAATAAAATTGTAAGTCATTTGCTGTAGGTTTTATGTGTTATAAACCAGTACACCATTGAACCAGAGCTGGTCCCCCTGCATGCTTTGTGTTACTACAGTCATTCTGTAACAGTTTTTATGTTCAGTCTTTACTTTCATTATTCTGTGTGGTTATTGCCTCCGGCTGGGCTTGGCATTCAGAGCGGATCTCTTTCTTGTGCCTGCGCATGCTCTTTATTTGTGCTCGTGACAATGACTGTATTTCCAGATACCCTCTGTTAATAAAAAACACTTTTGTGATGGTTTACTGCAGTTTCTAACGTTCTCTTGCATCTTATTTTCCATTAGCATCTTCCAAAGTCTTAAAGAACATGTGTGAGAACTTCTACAAATACTCAAAACCCAAGAAGATTCGAGTGTGTGTGGGAACCTGGAATGTGAATGGTGGGAAGCAGTTCCGCAGCATAGCATTTAAGAACCAGACGCTCACAGACTGGCTTCTTGATGCTCCCAAGTTAGCTGGCATCCAGGAGTTTCAAGGTTGGATTTTTATATCAAGGTTTAATGGAAGTCCTGACTGCAGTATGACCCTTCACTAAGTTAGGAAAGAGACTTGGGCTTCTTTTGTTAGTTTTTAAGCCAATATTTCTTAGGTCGAGTCTGATAAAGTCTTACCTCACTTTTTACTTCTGGACATTTTCTACTTCATAAAAAACAATGGTGGAGCTGGGTTTGGTGGCTTACCTCTGCAATCCTAGTACTCTGGAGACTGAGACAGGAGGATTGCTCTAAGTTCTAGGCAAGCCTGGACTACACAGTAGAACTTTGACCCCTAAACAAAACAAACAAAAACAAAAGGAATAGAACATTTGAAAATCTTCTTTTTTTTTTTTTTTGCCAGTTGTTTCTCAGAAAGTCGTGATCCATGTATAAATAGACATCTTTGAGGGTAGCCACACATACAGGAGAAACTACTTCTGCTTTTATTTGAGTAGACAAGAACCAAGATTATTAGTTATTAGTTGATCATTTGTATTTTATTTTTCAAGCCCAGAATGTTCCGTTTTCCAGGATGGGTCATGAGCAATTTTATAGACATTATATTAACTTGATTGTCCAAGGGGCCTGGAGAGGAGGTTCAGAGAGAAAAGGGCTTACTGCTCTTCCCCAATGGGGCACCCGCACAGACGTGGTGTGCATAAGCCACACAGGGCCTGGAGATTAAAACAGATAAAAGAAGAAAGTGCTGGGTTGCTCATGGCGGATACTCTGGCACCATTTCTTCACAGCAGAGCCTTCCAACACTGTGATGGTAATTAGAATCAGGAACTTGAGAATCAACTCCAGCTTCCTTTAACAGTAGTATATAATGACCAATTTGACAGTGCTATGTACAGGAACTTGTACGAGATACCAGTTTTCCTTCTCAAGTAATTTTTAATCAGTCATGTCTTAGCTTTTGGAATTTTCCCCAAATATTTTGTTAAAATTGGGCCCTTTTCAGTTACATTAATCCAAGTTGGAAATAGAAATAATAATAGACTGATTAATAATAATAAAAATGTTATGATAGTTGTGTTTTTCACATATTTAATTCTCACAGCAGACCCATTCCACTGAGGCTGTTATTCCAGCTTCAGAAAGGAAAAGCCTAAAGCGCAGGAAGGCCCTGCAGCCAGTGTGGCAAAGGCAGGAGCTAAGATCGTCATTTGGTCCTTGTCTGTGTGTCGGACTGTGTCTCACATGTGGACTTGGACAAGTGACTTAGCTTCCATACAGCCCCGTTTACACACAGTTTCCCGTGTGTAAACAAGGGGCAGGAACTCTGCCTTACCTCGTGTTGTGTGGTGATGGGAAGGTGTGGCTTTGAGTCCTGCACACAATCCCAGCTGGTAACGAACGGGCTTGGGTCACTTTGTGGAGTAATTCCTTTAACTGCAGCTTTGCTTCACTCCACCTCCGAGAAGTGGTTGTTTCTCTGCTTTCAGTGGTGCATATCTTAAGTTGTTTTCAAGTGATTTTATTTACTTCTTAAGGAACTTAAAAGTTATCTTAAATGGACTTAGGATATCTTAGTAGAAAGTAAATTTAAAGTAATGTAGCTCACTGATGAAGCTTTACTTTTAATATAAATGTGGTTAAATTGGAAACACAAAAGGGTTTTTATGTGATCTGAGATTGTGTTTGATGGGGTGAGGTTGCCATTTGACCAATGCTGTATTTAAAGGTATTTTTTGATGCTTAATTATAGATAAGAGAAGTAAGCCAACTGATATATTTGCAATTGGCTTTGAAGAAATGGTGGAGTTGAACGCTGGGAACATTGTGAATGCAAGGTAAGCTCTCCCGATGGCAGCACGGGAGGACAGGTAAGGAGTTGTCACCACGGTGCTGACATTGGGGAGATATGTGGAAAGGACTTTGTAAACTGTAAATAGTATGAGGATCGTTCTAAACTTCAGTTGATACTATGTTAGAAATTAAGACTGAAGATTACAGATATCTGATTAAAAATAATAGGAACAGGCAAGATGGCTGTTCTCCAAACGTGATAACCTGAGTTTAATCCCTGGAACCAATCTAAAGAGTAGAAGGAGAGACAAGCTCTACAGAGTTGTCTGTGACCTCCACCTGTGCACTGTAGCATGCATGCCTGTGCACATACACATACACTAAGAAATAACTTGTAAACAATAGAGATCCCATGACAGTTAACATAATCTCTTTTTTTCTTCTTCCTTAACATTTTTAAATTCGAAGTTTACTGGGAAGCATGGTATTGTTTTGTGGTTTTTATTAATTGCTTAATGTCTGCATTAAGATAACTGGATTATTACATATACTTCATGTACTTCCATATTGTTATGCTTCAGTATTATGAGTGAATTATGTGAAGAAAAACCACATATATATAGTTGGAATAAAACAGTTTAATAACCTTGCTAGAAAATGTCTCCTCAGCTAGGTACTACATCAAAACTCAGCAAGTGGTAGTACCTCTTAAAGACGAACCGGCAGTCTTGAGACTTTGCTGTGAACTTTAAAAAGACGCATTCCTTCCTGTGTATGTGACTGAGTGTTCAGTCTGCATGTATGTCAGTGTCCCACCCGCGGACACTGCCTGCGAGAGGTCAGAAGCAGGTCAGAGTCTCAGAGAACTGGAGTTCCACCCCGTGGGGACTGGGGACTGCACGTGGGTGCCCTGCTGGAGTGGCCAGTGCTCTTAACTGTGAGCACGTGAGCGGCTTGTGCTCTCCTTGTACTAACATGGTGGTCTTTTACCATGGCGTGATCTGTGTGTTGGTCATTTAGAAAAAAAGCTCACTGACTATGTAGATCTTCCTAATTCTGACACGTCTTGTTCAGTGTGAGTGTACTGTTGTGGTTGGAATCGTCAATGATTATTTCATCAAAATCTTTAAATGTTGTGAAACAGCAAAGATCACAGTAGCTAATACAAATTTTACAAAATTCTAACTTTCGCTTGAAAATGCAAGTTTTGGGGCAACAAATAGCTCAACAGGTAAGGACATTTGCCACCAAGCCTGATAATCCTAGTTTGGAACCTACATGGTAGAAGTAAAGAGCAGCTCCTCAGGTTGTCTTCTGATCTACACATACACACACACACACACACACACACACGCACACGCACACGCACGCACAAGCACAAGCACGCGCAAACAAACACACAGGCAAACAAAAAACTTTTTAAATATACAGAAGAAAATTCCAAGTTTTATCCTTTTTGTTTTTGATTTTTGAGTTTTGGGTTTTCTTTTTCAGACAGGGCCCCAGTCTGGGTCCCAAACTAGCCATGTAGTTGAGGATGGCCTTAAACTTCTAATTCTTCTGCCTCTACCTCCCAAGGGCTGAATTACAACTGAGAACGCAACACTCACTTTTACCCTGTGATGGGGATTGAACCCAGGGCTTCATGCATGCTAGACAAACACTGTGCTGAGTGAGCTACATCCCCTGTCTTGAAGTCTTATTAGTAGAAACTAATACTGTTGGTTAGTTCCCTTGTAACAGACAGGACTGGTGGAAGAAGTAAGTGCCCAATAACTTCAGTCCGACTGATCACAGCCTGTGTAGTCTCTCAGGGATGGTGTGCTGAGAGGTGACGGTCAGCTCCCAGCCTGTGTAGTCTCTCAGGGATGGTGTGCTGTGAGGACAGTCAGCTCCAGCCTGTGTAGACTCTCAAGGATGGTGTGCTGAGAGGTGACGGTCAGCTCCCAGCCTGTGTAGACTCTCAAGGATGGTGTGCTGAGAGGTGACGGTCAGCTCCAGCCTAGTGTCAGGTGCTTCCTCCTGAGGTGAGCACACTTGATGTCTAGAGACTTGCAATCAGAACATTGAAAACAGGCGGGTCCCCACCCTCAAAGAAAGAAAAGGAAAAAAAAGAAAAGAAAACAGGTGGGATTCTCCAAGGTGGAGTCTAAGAGATTAGTAATGTTCACTACTTCCTCGAAGATAGCTCTCAGCTTTGGATACCGTTACAGTTTAATTTGTAAACAGTTGTTATAACAAGTTATTTTTAACCAAATCACATCTCAAAAATAGTTCATCTAGAAAATTCAGAGAATAAAGTCAACTATTCGTTGTGGAAGGCCTTACATTCATTATTCCTAAATAAAGGAAACCTTTACTAAAGATTTTTCTTTAGTAAAGTGCTGATTTTTTCCCACTTGTTTAACCAGTATCTATTGATCATGTCACTCTAAAGATACATCTGAAGGAATGAAAAGGACCGTGCCCTTGTCTGCATGGAGACTGTCTTCTACTGAGAAGACATGGACAGTGCCAGGAACGTTAATGAATAGGTGGTAGAGCATGTGAGAAGTATGCTGTGGAACATGGGTAACAAGAAGGTAGGGCCTGAAGAAGTGGAGGGCTTGAAGCAGGGTAGGGTTTACTGTAGAGATGACTGGAGGAGTGACCAAAGAAGATAATAAAGATGGCATTTGCTTCCAGAGTCTGCCATACAGGGTTGGCATTATGGTTGTAATGAGTTCTGTTTGGAGACAGTATGGTACATGCCCTAAGATAGGTGGGTGTGAGGTCATATTCTTGCTTAATATTTATGTGACCTGGAATAATGAGAACAACAACAAAAAAAGCCAAAAAACAAACAAACCAAAAAAAAAAAAAAAAAAAAACCACTTTCCTCTCAATTGGAGGCTCTGAGGTCCAAACTCACTTCTCTGAAAACTTACAAAAAAACAAAGAAATATTTATCCCATCTTTTTTCTATGACTGCATTGCAGAATAATTGAATAGTTGATTCCAGTTCTTTCTGAAGCTTAATTACAGTTGCCTGTGTTGTACTGTTTCAAAGTAAACGTTTGTATCTCCTTGTGGAGTAATAGATCTGTACAATGACCATCACTAGATGATACTGATAAATCCCTGAAGACCAGCCATGGGCAACTTGGTAAAGAATGTGTTCGCCCCATTTTTGCCAAAAGAAATGCACAAATAAAAGTGAGCTTGTTGGTGGCACACGGCTTTAATCCCAGCACTCGAGAGGCAGAGGCAGGCAGATCTCTGTGAGTTCGAGGCCAGCCTGGGCTACAGAATGAGTTCCAGAATAGGCTCCAAAGCTACACAGAGAAACCCTGTCTCAGAAACCGCCCCCCCCCCAAAAAAAAAAATGAGCTTGTTGCTTAGTCAAGTTCCTGTACCAGTCAGCATAAAGGAAGAATGAGTTACAGGAACAAGGTAAGACATCAGCAGAGCACATTAACCGCACATAGACTGCTGACATTTTACAGGCAGATGGTCTGGTGGTTGTTTTTTAGTTGCCATTGCGAAGTGAGGAGGCAAGGACAGTGGGGGAGCCATTAGGACAGAGAGTGGAGAGGCATGGCCAGGTGTGCATTGTAGAAACCAGATTTGGCCTGTTCTAAGAGACCATGATGGCAAGAAGACCGGGGTTTTTAGAACATAAGGGAAGTTTCAATCCTAATTGAGTGTTAGGTGATGGTGAAGAAGTGCTACTGTTTAAGCTGGTGATGGCATCGTGGTTATGTCAAGATAAAAATGGTCATTGTATTAAAGATACAAAGTAATTATGAGTGAAATGGTGTGTGTCTTAGATTTGGTCTAAAATATCCAAGTTTACAAGAAAGAGGGGGGGAAGGGAAGAGGGAGGCAGGGAGAGACAGAGATTTAAGCTAAATAATTGGGTATATGGAGACTTACAGTTACCAATCTCAGGCTTTCTAAATTGTTTTCCATAATAAATCATTTAAAAGAAAAATTTTAAAATAAAAAAAATTTAGTTTAGGGGACTGGAAAGGTAGTAGTTAAGATGTCTTATTGTTCTTCCAGAGGACCAGAGTTCAATTCCCACCAGCCACATAGGGTGGCTCACAACAGCCTGTAACTCTGTCTCCAGAGATTCTGATCCTTTCTCTGGCCTCCTCAAGCACCTACACATGCATATCACACACACACACACACACACACACACACACACACACACACACACACGTAGTTTTTAAGTAAATAAATGTAAATTCATGAAAATAAGAGAAATGGGGATTAGGGAGGGAGGTGGTGTGTAAAAGTGTATGTTTCTCCACGAGCCCAATAATACTTGAGACTAAAGTGTGAAACTCGGCCGAGTCACTCACCTTATGTCATTTATTAAGTCCTTTCCTGTCTCCTTTGTTTTGTTTTATTTCTTGGTGGGTTTTTTATTTTAGCATTGTTTGTTTGCATGTGTGGGGGGGGGGGGGAGGGAGAGAGAAGGCACATATGTGCAGTTGTGTTCATGCAGAGGTCAGAGGGTAACTTTTCAGGGTCACTTCTCCTTCCCCAAGGGTCATGGGGATTGAACTCAGGTCGTCAGGCTTGCTAGTGACACCTTTGCATGGTGAACCATCTCTCCTCATAGAAGAGTTATACAGTAGATTTCGAAATGCTGTATTATTTTGGTTAAGCTGCAGGTTTTTCTCTTTAATGGAAACAAAAAACAGATGGCATGAAATTTTCTTCTTTTTAAGAAACCAGTTATGTAAAGGTGTGGTATCTTCCTAAAGATCCCTCTCTAATACTTTGGTAGCACAACAAACCAGAAGCTCTGGGCAGTGGAGCTGCAGAAGACCATCTCCAGAGACAACAAGTATGTCCTGCTGGCTTCGGAGCAGTTAGTGGGTGTCTGCCTGTTTGTTTTTATCAGACCGCAGCATGCTCCTTTTATCAGGTCAGTGGCAGACGCTGTCCTCTGGCTCTTCTCACTGAATGACAAAAAAGTCCTCAAGTGTGCAGTGCACCTCTCCATTTGCAATTATGTTTTAAAGGGATGTTGCGGTGGATACTGTGAAGACTGGGATGGGAGGAGCGACTGGAAACAAGGGGGCAGTTGCAATCCGGATGCTCTTCCACACCACCAGCCTTTGCTTTGTCTGCAGCCACTTTGCTGCGGGGCAGTCACAAGTCAAGGAGAGAAATGAGGATTTTGGAGAAATAGCACGGAAATTGAGTTTTCCCATGGTGAGCTTCTGCTGTTTATTCTTTAAAATAAACCTTTGGATTGTATTTTAATTTACCCTACATTTTATGTCAGCCAACTTTGAAGATTTAAAGCAGTTCTCAGAAACATCAACAGTACCCATCTACTTTGTCTTATTACTATTGGCTCAAGAAACGGTGTTGATCGTGGCAAGCACATCTGAAGCAAAGAAATAATGTGAAACACATTAAAACATTGTTTTGAATTTCAAATGCCATCTCATGTTTCCAGGGAAGGATGCTGTTTTCCCATGACTATGTATTTTGGTGTGGTGATTTCAACTATCGAATTGATCTTCCTAATGAAGAAGTTAAAGAGCTCATAAGACAACAAAATTGGGATTCTCTTATAGCTGGGGACCAACTCATCAATCAGAAAAATGCAGGGCAGGTAAATACACACTGGAAGGTGGGCGTGTGTTACAGAGGGGGCTTTGGAGCACTGGAGAGATGGATCAGCGGTTAAGTGCACTTGCTGCTCTTGTAGAAGACCCAGGTTTAGTACCCAGCACCCACACATTGAGCAGCCCACAACCACCTGTAACTCCAGTTCCAGGGGATCCAGTGTCCTCCTGTGGCCTGTGCAGGCCCTGCACATGACATGGTACACATACAGACAAGTAGGCATACGCAGATGCACATAAATAAAAAGAAATTTAAGATTTTTCTTCTTAAATAAAAAAGAAAGAAAATAAGAGGATTTGGGGGCCAGGGAGAGGGGTAGGGGTTTAAATCCTGTCCATGCAATCCTGAAGATCTAGGATTGATCCCCAGAACCTACCCGAGAAGCCCCAGCTGAAAGCCCTGGTGCAGTGGCATGCACCTGTAATCACAGGTGGACAGGAGGGAAACCCAAGAGCATCAGCCAATTGCCAGGAGCTCGAGGAACAGTTAGCCTGGGGCGTGCTGCACTGTAGAATCAAGAGAACTCTGCCTCACTGAGTGGAGGGCGAGAACCAACTCCCAAAAGTTGTCCTCTGACCTCCACATGTGCCCTGTGACACATACATGCCCTCCTTACTCAACATACTTACACATAAAAGTATAAGCATTCAATAAATAAAATTGTAAAAGGAGGGTATGAGCCAGGCAGTTGTGGCCCACACCTTTAATCCCAGCACTCAGAAGGCAGGGGCAGGTGGATCTCTGTGAGTTCGAGGCCAGCCTGGTCTACACAGTGAGTTCCAGGGCAGCCAGGGCTACACAGAGAAACCCTGTCTCAAAAAAACAACAAACAACAACAACAACAAAAGGAGGGTATGAATTTTGACAGACATAATTTTTTATTCCATTTCCATATTTATTGGGAGCTGTTTATATGTACCTGTGACTAAACATACAGAATTATTTTTTTCTTGAAAGATTAGAAATAAGAAAGGAAGGGGAAGAGAGGATTTAAAAAAGTATATAATTCTTCCTAGGAAGAAAAATGCATTAATGTGTCTATAAAATGTACTTTCAAACAGAAGGCTTATAATTTGAGGGGATGATAATAATGTGGAATCTCAGATTAAGAGAAGTAGTTGGAGACCACTGGTGTAGTATCTGAGATCATCAAGCTTGAATTCTTAGACCTTGGTGACCATTCACTTTTTTAGACATCAGTTCCACTATGTGGAAGTATGACGTCAGGTTCGATGATGCCCAGTATCTCGTATCATCTTCTACTTTTTTTTAAAGATGGGGCTAGCCTGAGGATTGAACCTAGGTCCTCATGCTTTCGAGGCAAGTGCTCTACTCCTGTCCTTCATAGAGTTCTGAATGCCTCATAGAGTAGGGTGACTTCCTTTATTCATGCTTTTAACGTTTTATTAATGGAAGGTTAAGTGGCAGGGAGAAGGTCACATGCTAGGTTTGGGTAGGGGGCGGTGTTATTCAGTTCTGTTTGAAGTGTTCACTGGATAGATAGTTTGTAGGAGACTATCCAGCACGTAAAAATAAAAGTGGAGGACTAGAGAGATGACTCAGTGGTTAAGAGCACTTGCTGCTCTATCAGATGACCCTGGATCCAAAGCCAAATTCTGGCCTCCATGAACACCTGCACACATGTGTACACACAAACGCACACCACACACACACACACACACACACACACACACACACACACACACACACACACACACACACACACACACACTGGCCAGCTCAGTTTGAGGCGCCAACAGACTTAGGTTGCTCTCAGCCTTGATACTACTTCTTACAGTATCAGCAGTCATAACTGCCAGAATGCTAAGAATAAGACACTGAGTGTTCAGCCCTGAATCATACATCCATATTAACCCCACCACCACCAAGGTTCAGGGAACATCTCAGAAGGAGTGCAAGGGCAGCAGGATAAGGAGCTCGGTGACCACATGGCTGTGGTGGTCATGAACTCAGCAGCTGTAGTAAACTGAACAAAGCTTAGATAAGACCAAGCCAGCCAAAATTGCAGCATAGATGGGGTGGATGATCTCTGGACCCCATACCTTATGGGGGAGCCATTGACAGTTGATAGTTGCTGGAAGTGGGGACATTTTTTTTTTTTTTTTTTTTTTTGAGGATGTGGCCACTGGTAGGTTTCCCATGCTCTAGTGCAGTGGTTCTCAACCTGTGGGTCACGGGCCCAAAGGGGTCAAACAACCTTTTCACAGGGGTCACCTAACACCATTGGAAAACACAGATATTTACATTATGATTTAAAACAATAGCAAAATTACAGTTATGAAGTAGCAATTAAGTAATCTATGGTTGGGGTCAGCACAACCTGAGGAACTGTGTTCGTTCAAGGGAACTGCATTAGGAAGGTGGAGACCCACTGCTCTAGTGGACGGCCCCACATCCACGCACATGTGTACAGCACTAATTGGACTTAATGAGTTATCAAAAGAAGAAGAAATGTGATCCTGAGAGGAATGGGGAGAGCTGAAGGGGAGAAATAGAGGGTGAATATGATCCTCTTTCATCGCATACATGGAGTCTCCAAAATCAAGACATTTTTAAGTAGAAACATGAACATTTATGTGTTTTGGAATAACTTTGTGTATGTTTATTTTAGATTTTTAGAGGATTTTTAGAGGGAAAAGTGACGTTTGCTCCAACCTATAAATATGACTTGTTTTCTGAAGACTATGACACCAGTGAGAAGTGCCGCACCCCGGCATGGACAGACCGAGTCCTCTGGAGGAGGAGGAAGTGGCCTTTTGACAGATCAGGTTAGGAGTGGACTTTTTTATTTAGGTAAATTAATGTGAACTTTGTGAGGGGGAGTGATAAACATAAGAGCTTTTTTGTACAAAGGTTATCTAGCATAAAACAAACATTTAAAAACATGTGTATTTTTTCAGTAACATAATTTCATGTAAAGTGAGTGAAGAGACATTTATTTTGTAAAATTTCTGATTGTAGTCCTGAAATTGAGGATTTTGAATGAGACTTGGCTGTTGAACTTTTATGAAACAGTATTTGGTCCCAGGTTCCAACTAATCTTAGAAGTTAGCAACATTTCAGTTCTTCCCAAGTAAAGAAGAAAATAACATGACAAATATATCTCTAGTTTAAAGATCTCTGGACTGTCTGCTTCCAGGGTTTTGACATTTTAGCCTCAGACTCCTGAAGGCTCTACAAGGAAGTGGGCACTTGCATGTGTCATGTGACCTTTCCTCACGTGACTGCTCTTGAATTGTCTTTTATTCTGATTGCAGCTGAAGATTTGGATCTTCTGAATGCTAGTTTCCAAGATGAAAGCAAAATCCTTTACACATGGACCCCGGGCACTTTGCTGCACTACGGGAGAGCCGAGCTGAAGACTTCTGACCACAGGTTTAAACAGCCTCAGTTTTTAATGATGCTTGACGTTTGTGTGAAAGAAATCCTTTAGGAACATGTCTAATGCATCTCCCTTTGTGCCTTAAGGCCCGTCGTCGCCCTGATTGACATAGACATATTTGAAGTGGAGGCTGAGGAGAGACAGAAAATTTATAAAGAAGTCATTGCAGTCCAAGGCCCACCAGATGGCACAGTGCTGGTGTCGATCAAAAGTTCTGCACAAGGAAACGCTTTTTTTGATGACGCTTTGATTGATGAGCTGCTGCAGCAGTTTGCACACTTTGGGGAAGTCACACTCATCCGGTGAGTGAGACAGGCGTCTGAGCCAGAGTGTGTCAGAAGCAGTAGTTTCTACACTGGAAACCCGAACCTAGTGACTGCAGTGTCTGAGTGTGACATTTCCAAATAAAGAGCTCTAGACAAGCGCTCCTAGGTTTGGAAATTAAGTTCTCAACATAGCGAACTTAAAATGAATAATGAACTTTTACATGAACATGAAGACAAAGGTATGTTTGAGTTCAGGAATAACCTCGTCAAGATTCCTCTACAGGGGAGCAAGCTCTGTGTGAGAATGAATGAGAACGCAGCTGTAGTTGATAATTTTAATGTTTCAAGGAGAGAGAAAAGTAAAGGGACCAGTACCCCAGGAGTCAAGAGGCTGAGGCAGGAGGATCAGGAGGTCAGGGCCAGCAGACTACATAGAAAGTATGTCAATAACCACCTTTAGTAACTAAATAACCTGGAGGGAATTTTTGTTACTCTCCGAGGTTCAGGTCATTATAACTGGTCCATGTTCCGTTTCCAGCCAGCAGAAATGTGAGGAGTTGTGGGAGCCGTCCATCCCAGTCTCAGTTCCCAGTATTGACTTCACCGTGTACTTTCTAAAGCTGAACTCCATGCCTCTTGTTTAAGAGGGTTTTCTTTCACATGTCGACCGTTTGGGGAAATTGAATTTCATGTGTTTTTAATTCCACGGGGAAAGGAGTACTGCTTAATTCCTTTGTATGTTGTTCATTTGCTTGGGTATGTTTGACTTGTGTTCAAACCTCCACACGGAGGTATCGTAGAAGAGCAGAGGAGAAGTAAAAGACATGGCATGTGCTTTTAATCTAGTCAGAGGAGTCGCGGTAGTGACTTCTCCAGGTCCATAGACTGAAGGGAGGGTAGTTTCTGTAGAGTGGACCTCATGCCTGCGACACATGAGGTCCTTTCAGGGAGCAGAGGGCAAATGGAAAGAAATTGTGTTTACATTTCAGATCCTTTGACTTTTCTTACCCCTCCCCCACATCTTTGAGAGCAATCTATTTTAAATATTCCAAATCTTATAAAATCTGAACCTGAGAGATGGCTCGGTGAACAAAAGCACTACCTGAGTTCCATCCCTGGGATCCATGTGAGGGTGAAAGGAGAAGGCCAATTCCACAGAATTGTCCTCTGACCTCCACATGCATGCTTGGCAATAATGAATTAGTTAGCTTCTAAAAGACTTAAAAATGGCTCTAGAAAGTACACGGTAAAATCTCCCAGTTTTACAGATGACAGTAAGCCTTGCCAAGTATGGAAATGTCAGTCCACCGGAAACATCTGTGAACTATGTGAGTGGGCAGCAATGAGCAAATGTAAACTACAGCATTGAACTGGAAGACTCTAAGTGGTGTAAGAGAGAGAGACCGGTAAAGGAGCGGGGACTTGTGTCTGTTTAACACGCTGGGTTCTCCCTAGTTCAGAATTGAAGCTAAAAGCTTTCCTCGGAGTGCTGTCAACATTAGTATTGATAAGCAAACCGGGTGTTAATGTGATATACAGCCGTGGGGTGTCTGGACACTTAGGATATTATGCTTGTTACACCAGTGGTGCCAAACTGATAAGGAAAAGCAGATACTAAAAGTAAAGCAGAGGTGGATGTGGGGGTGTACAGCTGTGGTCATGGTGCAGTTACCAAAGAACCAGTAATGTTTGGAACTCAGGACACTGGTGCATCTAAGAACAGTCTTACAGGGGTATCCTCCATGGCCAGCCATTTGGTAGTTATTTAGGTAAGACTACCTACTATCCCTGTGAATTTCAAATGACAACATTTTTGTAACTTAATAACTTCATGCCAGGGAAGCGGAGTCAGTTATGTTGGTCATGTCTGAGTGATTCTAAGATGTATTCCATGTGCACTTGATTTCAGTAGAGTAGTTTGGCACACTTTTATTTTGGTCTTTTTTTCCCTTAAAATCCATAATGTTTTAGACTCTGAGCGTGAGACAAAAAGGTTTTCTCCATATGGTTGGGGAAGTTCAGTTTGCAAAATTGCTTTTGTAAATAAGACGGATAAACATTGTTTTATTCTTTAGTTATAAACCTCCTTATATAATCAGTGACTCTTCAAAAGGTGTCCTTTGTTTCATTTTCTCCTTTTGGGGGGTTTCTTGTTTCCAGAGTATAATCCTGGAGTCATAGCAAAGAAGAAGTATCTTGTGCAGACAAACACCTAACCCAGAGCTCCTTGTGACTAGTTCGTTGGGTTGTTTGGAGTTTCCTTCTTATTAATAGTCCCTGTCGTCTTTCTCAGTCAAAGGAAATAACCTTCAGGAAAGTCACTGCAACAGTGAAAATGCATAGAACCTCACTGTGGAGTCGGATGTAGCCCTTCCTCCTGCCTGTCCTGTTACCTTAAAGCAAAAGCAGCAGGAGGGAAGTGCTGTATCCAAGGGCGCCCTCCTCTGGGGACCAGCCCAGTGGTCTCCATGTTCTCTTCTTGGCTCCATTTGTTCATTAGGAACCAGTGGCCAGAGATTGAGCTAGTAATGTCTGAGGAGTTCATTTTCTTCTCATGTATCACTGTTCTTTTTCTTAAAGATTCGTAGAAGATAAAATGTGGGTTACATTTTTGGAGGGAAGCTCTGCCTTGAATGTTCTGAGCCTAAATGGTAAAGAGGTAAGGTAGATTTGATGATTCTAAGCCATTTGAAATGCCTGAAGATTGTATTTGTACAAGCATGCTACCAGAGTGCCTAAATGTATTTTCAGTTAAGGAAAATAGAAGGCTGTGAACTGTGTAAGAGTTACTTAATATTTTTATTTAGACTAGTTTTCTGCCTAACTTAGGGTTATTTTACTTTCCCCTTGGAGATAGTAACCGGTGACAGAAACAAAAAGGAAAACATGTTCACTGCCTAATTTGATTTCTACCATATTTAATGCAAAATATTATAATTTTTTAATTAAGGTTAGATATTCCAGCTCCTCTCTACATTATTATCAAGTGGAGGACATGCTTTTTTTACAAGAACATGGGGCAGAAGGTCCTCACCATTTCCAGGAGTTACCTGTAAGCTGCTGAAGAAAGGCTTTGATGTCAGCTCCCTTGCCAGCCTGGATACATAATTGCCACAGATGGGAAACACTCCACACTGTAGCACTTTCAAATGTGACAGCTGGGATGTTCCTAGCCTGTGATTTGAAATGTCACCATGAGAAGCTTACACCGTGACCTGGAGTAATTATGTTTCTGTGAAAGGTTGCATCTGTCAGTTGCGTTGAATCTGTTTGTCTTTGTTTAGCTGACCCCTGCATTGCTAAGCGTGTGGTCATTAGATGCACTAGACCGAGTGCTGGTTCAGTCTCTCCATTGGAGAGCAGCTCCTCTCCTCCAGAGTTGACCAGCTCTCTCTTTTCATGTTAGGAATTTGTTTGATTTTTTTTGTTTTGTTTTTAATGCAATACTAATATATTCACGTCAAAATGAATTAGAAAAAAAACAGAAAATGCAAGATAATATTAAGTTGACCATTTTAGAAGTTAAACATTTCTAAACCTCAAAAGTGTTGCCTTTGTTAGAACCATTAATTTAACCCTAATTTTTTCATAAATTATCCAATTTCAGAGAAAAACCTGAAGAAGCTGGGCATGGTGGCACACAGCTGTGATCCCAGCTCTTAGTAAACTGAGCCAGGGGCCTCACTGAATTTTAGGCCAGCCTAGGCTACACAGTGTGTCTCAAAACACAAAAAGCAACACACAGACGCACACACGCACACACAAATAAATAATAAAAAAATAAAAGAAAGTGTTTTTTAAATATACTATTTGGTAAACATACAAGATTTTTGTTGATTTTAAAAAGTGATATGTGAAATATGTAGGTAAATGATGGATTTAGTTGAGTTTAATACTTGGGTCTGATAAGCAAATAAGAGACCAGTTGCTGTTAGACAAGCCATGCTGTTTAAGTGAGTGCCTTCAGGGAACCCTGAGAGCAGTAATACTTTGAGCTGGAATCTGCCCACAGAATTGCCAACTCCCAGTGTTGAGTTGGACTTTTAAAAGTAATTGTTATAGTCCAATTTAATAACTAGTTGACAGAAAGAAGATACAGAAGACAATCAACTCATAGGAGCTGCAGCTCAACTCATGGCTACACAGGTCATTTATAAATATTAAAAGTTTAGTCTTCTTCCCACGAAGGAGCTCTTCAAACAAAAGGCTGAAGCTGTATAAAAGAGCTTGTAACTAGGAAGCTGGTCTGTTGTATGGGGTGGACTTAGTGAGAGCTTTGCTGTGTATCCTCTCCATGTCCATGATGAAGGAGTCTTAGGACCAACAGCAATTTTTAAAGAGTTTAAAAAAATACAACAAGACAGTGTAGCTTGATTATAACATAGTGGTGGTTTTGTTAAATCATATTTAGATCTAAAAATCACTTAAATGTATAAGGAAAGCAGAAGGCTTGCTTTACAAGTTTCAGCCATTCTATTTCCAGAAGAGTTCATTTTTGTAGACAATTTAAACTCATCTTCACACAGCATTCTCCGAGATTTGAAATGCTAAAACCGCAGGCCAGCACACGGCACCATACAGTGGAGCAGCTCTCGGACCCCATGACAGCGGCTGTGTGGTCCAGGCTTCCTGTCTCTCTGCGCTTGTTTCAGTGGAGGAACACTAGTTAGTTCCTGGATCCAAACCGGAATTACGTAACAGACTACCAGGAGTGTGGATTTGGCCAAGAAGAGAAACTGGCTCGAGAAAAGGAGTCCTAACTACCTTTATTTGGCATCATAAGCTTTTAAAGGCAGAATGGTGAACGGCCTGTACATGGGAAAATTTCAATATGTGTGGAAGGATTTATTTTGGCTAGAATCCAACTAAACTGTTGATGCCACTGCATAATGTAAATAGGCACCCTTCTCCCACCTTAGTTTCTGTGCTAATAAATATTTCTTCTGTATCTTTTTTCTGTCAACTAGTTATTAAATCGGACTATAACAATTACTTTAAAAAGTCCAGACTGGATCAAGAATTTAGAAGAAGAGATGAGTTTAGAGAAGATCAGTGTCACATTGCCCTCATCGACGAGCTCCACCCTGCTCGGTGAGGACGCAGAGGTCACAGCTGATTTTGACATGGAAGGTTCGTATGTTGAGCAGACTTTTTCTTTCTCACTCCCAGCACTCACGACTTATTATCCAGTTTATGTCTCTCCTTGAACACAGTATTAATAATGGTTTGTTCTATGTAGTATAAATGTTTATCTGATTACATTAGACTTGGTAATTTATATGCCATTTTATCATTAAATAATAAATACATTTGTATATTTTAGTTTATATTGTATGATAAAAGCACAGAGTGGTATTTTGAATGTGCCAGTTTGTGCCAATAATTATAGTTAAGCAGAAGTTCCAAACAATTCTTTTTACTGCCAAAATGAGTTCATAGTAATTACTACAAAAGAAGAAATGTTCCAAAGGAATTCAGAGAGAGTCCAAGTGACTAGGAATACATTCATGTAAAACTGAAACTGTGTATATAAAGGTATCTACTTCAGTTGAAATTTTGAGACAAATTATCTGGGTATTGTAGTTTTTTTTAAACATTATTTGAAAGTACATTTGCTTTCTAATACTATATGTTATATGTGTGAGCATAGTTTTCATTGGGATATAGTTTTGTGATTGATAGAGTGAATGTTTAGTGTGTGTAAGACCCTGGCTTCTATCACTGACCTCCCCAGAAATGCACACCTGACTCTGTACTGCTTGATAGCACATCTAAGTTAAACATCTTTTAGGAGAATCACTAGCATCTATATTGGCATTTACTTGATCCACACATAAATATGAAATTTTTGGATGCCAAGTTGTGTTGGTTCCTTTTTTGGTTGTGGTCCTATGCCCTTCTGAAACAAGCTAAGGAGAGGATATTTATTCTGGCTTATGGTTTCAGAAGTTCAGTCCTTGGTTGATTGGTCTGTACACTCGGAGGAACATCATGGAGGCAGGAAAGATGGCGGAAGCTGGTCTTCTCTTCTTAGCAGACAAGAAACAAAGAAAGGGGGCATATGAGAAGAGGCCAGGGCAGGAAATAGAGCCGAGACAAACTCCTACCGATCTAGTCCCTCCAGCTTTTTACCACTTCCCAACAATGCCATTTTCCCATGCATCCATCCAGGCATTAGTCCGTCATTCTGTCAGAGCTGTCTAATCACCTCTGGGCACTCACGGACTCATCCAGAGGTCGGTTTCCCTGGTCTCCTAGCTCTTTGGCCCAGCAGGTAGAATCAGAATTTACCATCTTAGAGGTGCAAACTCTGTGACCATGGTCTTGTTAGTTCCTTCTAGAACTCACTGTTTCCTGGGTGTTTCACACAAGTAGGCAGGTCATCATAGTAAGTGATATCAGTGTAGTAATGACTGGTGGAATGGTATCCCATGGGAAAGTTTGTAGTTTAAAAAATCAAATCAAATCAAGGGTCTGGAGAGATGGCTCAGTGGTTGGGAGCACTGGCTGCTCTTGTAGAGGACCCAGGTTTGGTTCTCAGCACTCACATGGTGATTCTGTAGCTCCAGTTCCGTGGGAGCTGATGCCTCTTCTGGCCTCTTCAGGCACTGCACTCGTGTTGCACATACATACATGCAAACAAAACACATAGAAATAAAAGCCTTTGTAAAGTCAAGAAAAGAAAGTATAAATATGATATCTCATACCTCAGAGAGATAAGGGACAAAATAAGAACAGGAACTTATTTAGGAGCAGCGAAGGGAGCTGTTGGTGACCTTTGTAAGAATAATTTTGGTGGTGTGGTAAAACCAGATGGTGAAGTTGCTCTGGGTGGAAGGTGAAGAAGTAGGGTGCAGAACCGTTACTTTTGAACTTGGGGAGCCTGAGAATGCGTAGTGCTGCTAGAAGGGGCTGGTGCAAAGGTAGAGGCTGGTGCTGGGAAAGCGCTGACAGAAAAGCAGCAGGGCCTCTGAGGAGAGCGGGGTGTGCTGGATGCCTCCCTTCCATCCACTCTGCCTGAGTGTCGGCTTGCAGGAGGGACTTGGTGAAGGAGGAGGCTCTGTCTGCAGACTTCTCTTCGTGATGAATTTAGTACTCACATCACCGCAGAGTGGGGCAATCCGCCACAGTTCCTGGGGACTTGAGACTCTTTGAGATAGAGTCTCTGGCAAAAAGGAAGGAGAGGAATAACCAACAAGAAATCAGAGCTTTCAGGCAACTTGGGGACCCAAAGGAGATTGAAAACTACAAACGATGTTAGTCTGACCCTGAGGATTCTGTGGTTTTCTTGAGGGAGTGGCACTCACTGACGTGAAGTGGTGGGACTGATGGACGAGAGGGGTTTGTCAAGCACGGGCAGTGGAGAGTCGCAGTAGGGGTGGGTAAGTGAAGAAGCGCCTGGAGCTAAGCACAGAAGGGACCACATTGGTGAGGCTAAAAATGCTGGGGAGCAAGCCCTGGACCTCAGTGAGGAAAACGAGAGGGGCTGAGGGGCTGAGGGGAGGAAGAGAGAGACCAGGACGAAGTGCTGCGGGCTAGTAAGTGCCCCCGAGGTCATGCAGGCTGAGGGTGTGCTGTGCATCGTGGGGGCAGTCCTGTCGGTGAGCGCAGCACGGAGGCACTCCCACTGTCCCACTAGCTGTCCACAGGGCTTCGGCATCATGTGCAGAAAGGTGATAGGCCCACTTGCCATTGTGCCTTCTGCTCAGTCCTGAATGACTGAGGGACGGAGGGTGGAGAGTTCTGAAGGAGGTGGGACTCCTGGCGGCATAGCCTGAAGATAGGACTTGGAAGGAAGGTTGATGTTCTGGGTTGCGAATCCTCTTGCACAGGGTACCCTGACCCCACTTTCCAGCCCTCAGGTAAGTGGAGATGAGACCTGATAGGAGAAACTGGGTCTGTATTGGGTGAAGAAGCTTGAGGTGGGAGACTTCTGGTTAAGGCAGCAGTTCTTAACCTGTGGGTCGCGACGACTTTGTGTCTTTTAGCCCTGGAAAGCCTAACATGCACAGTTAAAATGATGGTGTCTGTGGTGGCCTTGCTCTTGTTAGGTGATGTCGATGACTACAGTGCTGAAGTAGAGGAGCTTCTTCCTCAGCATCTGCAGCCATCCTCAAGTTCTGGCCTTGGCACTTCTCCAAGCTCTTCACCCCGGACCAGCCCCTGCCAGTCACCTACAGTGCCAGAGTACTCTGCACCGTCTCTTCCCGTCAGACCCAGCCGAGCACCATCCAGAACTCCAGGGCCCCCGAGCTCACAGAGTGTGTACTCCCCTAAGTGCTTGTGTGACTGTCCAGCCAGTTGTTAGAACTTAGGAGAACCGTTGTGTCCTAGTCACTTTGTGTTGCTGTAATAAAACACTGACCAAAGCAGCTTGGGGGATGAAGGGTGTATTTGGCTTCCAGGTTCATTAAGGAAGCCAGGACAGGAGCTCAAGGCAGGAACCTGGAGGCAGGAGCTGATGCAGAGGCCATGGAGGAAGACTGCTTCCTGGCTTGCTCCCCATGGCTAGCTCAGCCTGCTTTCCTATTTCACCTGGACCACCTGCCCAAGGATAGCACCGCCCACGATGGGCTGGGCCTTCCCACATCAATCATTAATCCAGGAAATTGGCCCTCAGGCCTGTCTGATGGAGGAAGTTCCTCAGTTGAGTGTCCTTCTTCCCCAGTGACTCTAATGGGCATCAAGGTGACAAAACTAACCAGTAACCATTGTGTAGCTTGTTAGCCCGGGCATTGAGTGCCCTGTAGACAGGAGGTGAGTTTCCCGACCGTAACTCTTGGGGGAGCGGACTCTCATCACTGCGGCCACTAAAGGAGAATTTGCCCCGATCCTATTGATGTGGTTCGGATTGTCTGTGTTTTATAACTTGGGATTTTCTAGTCTGTGTAAGAGTGCTTGACTAGTTGGGTTCCTCCTCCCCTTCTTTGCTGGCCAGCAGATTGTATATGACTAAATTCTAACAGTAAATTCTGTCCCTTAATCAGCAAGTCAGCGTTAGTACCTCTGTCAGATGAGAGGTCCGCACAGGGTAGCATCCTGGTGCCCATGGTTCCAGAAGGTAGTTCCATGGTGGACACTGAAAATGTGTTGTACTCTTTCTTCAGGGCACAGAATTTGTAGAGGAGAGAGAATTGGAGCATTATCATTACCTATGTACTTTCCTTCCCACTAGCCCCTGATCTTACCTACTCACTTTTTAGGTTCTCCAGTTGACACTCAGCCAGCGGCCCAGAAGGATTCTCCCCAGACCTTAGAGCCTAAGAGGCCACCCCCTCCCCGCCCAGTTGCTCCTCCAGCACGTCCTGCCCCACCACAGAGACCACCTCCACCTTCAGGTAACCAATACTCTTGGGATGTCTGCTTAACTTCAAATTCTCCTCCTCCTTGTTTTAAAAGCATTGTGCATGTTTTCATGCTGCGAGACTCTGGATTTTGTTTGTGTTTGTATGATTGTTATTATTACTTAAGCTTTTCAAAAAGGACCAAGGAGCAACTGGACGACGTGTCTATCAAGCAGATTTCTTGAGCCTAGTCAGGCTGCCTCTTTGCCTGTGCACAGGGGGGGCTTGTTTGGGTCTTGATAATTTGATGAACTTGGCCATGTATGTTGTTCTTGGGTAAAACTGTGTTTAATTTTTTAAATTTCTCATCTGTAGCTTTATAAAGACAATTAACATTTATTAACTTTTAGAAATTTTATTTTAGAACTGAAGAGCATACATGTTTTTAATATGTTTTACATGCATCTTTAAATGTTCTCCTAGCTAAATACAATGATCACTTCCTGTGAGCATATGCATTGAATAATTGCTTTGTATAATGTCTAGGTATTTACATAATCATACATGATATGTGCTATCATGACTATTGGAGCAGGTCTTGATATTCAACTCTTTATTTAATGTCATTTCCTTCCTGCTGCCTAATTTCTTATGAACTATAAGGGGCTAGGAGTCCTGCACCTGCTAGAAAAGAATTTGGAGGTAACCATTTACATTTGCTATCCTGTGTGAATGCTGGTTTATTATGTTTTGGAGTTTGAACTCTCTAAGTCAGAAATAGTTTAGATCTGTTTGGTAAGCATCAGAATGAATGACATTTATACTCCGTGTTATAAAGTTCCAAACTTTATATATTCCTGTTAACATACTAGATATTAGTTCGATCTGTGAGTAGAACTAATAAATTATACCTTACTTTGCATTTTGAATAATTCATCAAATTCTTGCCTCATTTGTTTGTGTAAAACTATGATTTTTCTTATTTTCAGTGAGGGAATTTTTATTCAGTATTGGATGCTTTTATTTAAAAAGTAATTTATTTAGTTAACATGAAAATGGTAGGGCTGGGAATGTACCAAGTGTGCTTAACTGACATGTGCAAGCCATGGATTCAATCCCCAGGGCTTACACACACGAAGGAGAAATTGGCAGCTCATTCCGAAGGGTTTAGTGCTGATTGCATTTCATCTAAATCTCAAGAAAAGACGGAGATTATACCAATTCTTCAAAGAGCTTGAGCAGCTCCAGTGTTAAGGTTCCGAAAGCCCCTGTCATACAGAGTTGATGTGGCCAGCTCACACTGCTTCTGTGAAGGTTTTGGTGACTTCATAACAAGAATGGCTACGTGATCTGAACAGTGTAGCTTCTATGAAACATTAGGGTTTTTTCAGTTCAAAAATGGTTTATTTACTTTTAGGGTGAATTCTACTTTACTAGGAGACCAATCTGTAGAAAATAAATTTTGAAATGAACTTGTGGAAACTTGTATCATATTAGCAAACCAGTAGCTTATTTAGACATCTGTTTCCATTTTAAAATACCTTTCTTCATAATTCCTTTACAACCTATCTTATTCTGCGACCAGAAATCCTCTAAAACAGTAAGCTAAGAGAATACATCAGAAACTAACTTCTAAGAGATATTGTCTTTTTGTAGAACTTAAAGATGGAATGAAAGTTATGATTATTTTCCTTTTGACTACCAAATAATGTATTAGTAATCTGGATATAAGAAATGAGATGATCATAAGGTTTTGCATTAGACTTTTTTGGGTTCCTTACTGCTGGTAGTTTCAGATATGAAAAGGAAGCTGTGCCCTGCTTCTGTTCTTAGATTTGAGGAAAAGAAGGAGTCAATTTTGAGCTAAAGTCACTTTGATAACTTCCAAGAGATTTAAAGCAATAAAAGACCCTTCATGCAAGAATAATTTCATGCCTGCCTTTCATCCTGTGCTCTGGGCTCTGAACAATATATAGCTTTTGTTCTTTTTCTAAAAAGGTGTTGGAGCCCCTCCCAGTCCTGGGGTAGCTAGGAGAGAGATGGAAGGTAACAAGACTTTTGCATTCTAGATATGGTTCTTGTTCTAAGTGTCAGCCCTCCAGTGTTTCATGGCTTACTAAATCCTACAAAGTAGACACCACCTCTCTTTGTCCTTATAAACACCTTGTGTTTTTCTCTTTTCCTTCTGTGTTGTATGTATAGTTCCCAATAGCTGTCCATTTAATGTCTTATTCCTGGGGTTCCTGTGTTGTTCATACCTAGTCCTGTGTACTCGGACTATGAAGTTACTGTTGAAAGAAGAATGCCTTCATTTTCTTTTCTTGAATAAGTCACATGTTTATCAATGCTCTTGATTACCCTGAAGATTTATAGATTGGTAGCCATAAGGTCTAGTATTTTATAGATTTTTTTTAAATAAAAGATGTTTCTAAATATTTTGGTATTGGGCTAGATATGCTTGAAAGACCACTAAAACTAGGGCCATTTGTTAAGACTACAACTATTTATGGACTGCTGTGTAATATAACCATTATACTCAAATTTCTTCTCAAAATGGAAAGTCTAAGATAATGCTTGATAAGTCTTTTACTCTTTCTGTCCCCCAGAGTAATTTTCACGTCATCCTTAGACTACCTTCCTGAGTTTGAGCCACATTGTAACACTGCATATGAATGTGTCTGTACTTGTCTTCTGTCTTGATCCTGATGGTCTATTGTAGATTCCCAAAACCTCACGCTAAGATGACTTACCCACAGTCAGGCCTGCACTATGACATATTGTAGCACTGCATATGAATGTGTCTGTACTTGTCTTCTGTCTTGATCCTGATGGTCTATTGTAGATTCCCAAGACCTCACGCTAAGATGACTTACCCACAGTCAGGCCTGTACTATGACAGGCAAAGCTGTTAGGAACTGGCTCAGGAGCCATTTGTCTGCTGAGCTGTAAGGAGCAGCTGACCAGGGCTTCAAGGTTCATGGACAGAGGTCTATGAAGATGTCACCTTAGTGTGACTGACTCCCTTTGTCTCCCATGTGGGTCTCTCTAATACTCACTCCAGTTTCTGTCTTTACACAAAGCTAAGTGCTTGTTCTGTTGCTGTCTCGTGCCTTTGTCTCTGCTGGCAATGGACAGGGCATCCAGGTGATGCCGTGCACTGTTGTTTGATTGTTTGCTTATGGTTGATGCTTTTTCCTTTCTGCTTCCAAGCACCCAAAAGCCCGGGAACAACACGGAAAGATAATATAGGTAAAAACACTTGCATGTTGTTAATTCCCCTTAAAACTGGACCATGCGATAGACACTTGGAATAGAAGTATATGGTTTCTTATTTGTTTCTACTTTTTAAAAAAAAACAAAAAAACTTTCTTTCTTATACTTAAATACACAATGTGATGTCTGTTTCAGGGCGTAATCAGCCTTCACCTCAAGCAGGCCTTGCAGGCCCAGGACCTGCTGGATATGCTGCAGCCAGACCGGTAGGTAACACCTGGCCCGGGAGTTAAGAGGTATTTGTTCTGAGTTCCAGTTTGCAGCTAATCTGTTTGTTACCTTGGAGAGAATCAGGAGAAACCACCCAGGCTCAGTTCCTCAACGCTAAAATAAGGAAACTGATACTCTCCAAGCTATATCTCAACTCTAACCTTTCTCACATACCTCCAAATGAGTACACTAGCTTATCTGGATAAAAATAATGTACTTAATTATGGTCACTAAATAAACATCTTAGCATCTCTTAAAATATGAAGAAGTAATGTATTTGGATAGCTGTTTAGCATGTAACCTATTTAATCGAGGGAAATACAGAGTTATCCTTCCAGCCAGGTACGGTGGCATACAACTTTAATCTCAGCACTAAGGATACAGGAGCAAGTGGATCTCTGTGAGATCGAGGCCAGCATGGTCCACATAGTAAGTTCTAGAATAGTCAGGACTATGTAGAGAGACCCTCTCTCAAAAAAAAAAATATTTTTTTTAAAGAAGGACTTTAATTAGCATAAAATTATAATAGAATACTTAAACTGGTTCTAAAGTTATTAAAAATAGAAAGACAAATGACTTACAAGATTTTTACCATACTTTATAAATCTATGGCTTTGTTTGTTTAACATACGTCCTGTTCTATCCATACAGCTTCTATTATTCACTCAGATGAAATTCCTCTGAGCTCTAACAGTTATTCAGAAAGGAAAAGATAGGGCCATAGGGATGCTCAGCGGGCAGAGTGCTTGCCATGCAAGCCTGGTGGTCTGAGCTGGCCACATGTAGCCCATGGAATGGTGAGGAGGAGTTTCCTGTGATGCCACACATGGGCCGTGGCATGAACGCCTGCACACACACACACACACACACACACACACACACACACACACACACACACAGACACACACAAATAGTAAAGAAAACCATAATTGCAGTATAGCCTAGAACTACCACTATGCCTAAATCTGGGGAACCCAAGCTACTACTTGTCACGAAAACAGAAATTGCCTGTCTTTGTAACCATCTCCTTAACAAACTGAAGGCCATTTCTATGTATAATTCTACTCTTTCAACTGTCTGTAGAAGATACCTCAAGATAGCTGTTACTCTAGTCCACAAGAAGGGAAGTTTGCCAGATACTGACTACTACCACATTCCCCACGGCACCTTGATTATGTAGGGATAGGGGAGGGAGGTCAGGATTTCTGTGAGGCCTCGTGTCTTTTATCTACTACCCCAGCATTTAGGTGGCTGAGGCAAGGAAATTGTTATGGTGAGCCCAAGTCCACCCTGATCTACGTAGTGAGTTCCAGAGTAGCCTGGGACCACAGTGGTAGACCTTAGCTCAAAACACCCAAACCAAAAAAATAAAATAAAATATAACTTTGGCTTTAAATAAGTATTATGGGGTTAGACCCTTCAACAAACATACAAGAATAGAAAATACTTTTCAGCAGTGTGTCTTCTGGCTTATTTAGTTAGGCATTTAATAATGTTATTTCATGTTTTAACACACTAGGGAGGGCTGGAGAGACAGCTCAGTGGTTGAGAGCACTGGCTGCTCTTCCAGAGTACCCAGGTTCAGTTCCCAGCACCCACAGCAGCTCACAGTAGTCTCAAACTCTAGGTCCAGGGGACCTGCCCCCCCACAGATACAAATGCAGGCGAAATGTCAGTGCACGTCCACTAAAAGGAGGAGAGGCTGGTTCTGAGGCCTTTAGGAGGGAAGGTTTGTCTCCGTCACTTGTGCTTCCAGAGCCCTCCTCTCTTCAGGGAGTCAGCCCTGCTCCCAGTCAGGTCCCTTGCCCTGCGTGCAGCCAGCCAGGCCCACATTTATATCCTACTGCCATCTCTGTATGCATGTCTTTACCTTAATTTAGAGTATAGATGACAAAATCACATAAAAGTTGTTTAGAAGGTTAAATAAAAATGCCTAGATCATACAAGTGCCTGGTATACAGTTCACCGTCAAAGATAAAAAGGATTATATCACTGTCTTAGCGACAGACAGACAATTAAAATGGTGAAGTGGGGAATTATACCCAAGAGTCAATGAGACGTGAAAGCATGTATTTTTTCACAGAATCTAACTGTTGAAGATAAGTTAATGTCACTAGTATGTTCCCATCTCTAGACAATTCCAGCACGTGCTGGAGTGATCAGCGCCCCTCAGAGCCTGGCTCGGGCATCTGCTGGAAGGCTGACTCCTGAAAGCCAGAGCAAGCCCCCAGAGGCATCGAAAGGTAGGCGTGCGGGAACACACTCCGCTCTTGGCTCCTTCTTTTACTCTTTCTCTTCTTTCCCACCTTGCATAAGATCTAACCTACTCAGATGGGGGTCTTCTCCCTTGTGCCCCTGGAAAAGAGGGGCAATAACTAGCCTACCGTTGGACATTTCCCTAAAGAAAGAGGAGCCATGGCTTTTAGAGCACAGCTAACGTGGAAATCCTTGGTGCTCCAGGTCCAGCTGTCCTTCCAGAACCACTGAAGCCTCAGACTGCTTTTCCTCTGCAGCCTTCGCTGCCCTCCCCTGTTCCAAAGATGCAGGAGCCTCTCGTCCCCACGGCCGCACCCATGCCTCCCTCTGGCCCCCAGCCCAATCTGGAAGCCCCACCACAGCCCCCACCTCGGAGCAGGTCATCTCATAGCTTGCCTGCAGACTCCTCACCACAGCTACAAGTAAGTGTCACTGCTGAACGAAAGTGTCTCCGATGCATGTGCTTTATCATAAGCCTGGAGTACACTTACCTTAATGACCAGAGGTTAAGAGTAAATTTGACCCGAAATTGGATTTTTGCCACTTGAAAGTAGTAGCACCTTGACATGACTTTCATATCATTTGGTTCCTTAAGTGACTCACATGCTATTGGCTGTTTGAGAATTTTAAGGATTTGTTTGTTTGTTCATATGTATTGCTTAAATAAAAAAATCTCAGAGAACATCAGGAGTGCTTCGGAGGTAATCCCAGGTTAGGAGGCAGAGGACCACAAGTTCAAGGCTAGCCTGGTCTACAAAGTGAGCTCCAGGCTAACCAGGGCTACACAGTCAAAGAGTTCTCAGATACAAGAGCAAGGTTCTTTAGGAAAGTCCAAGTGGTTCCTCATTTGTAGCTTTTTAAATACATGTTTGCTCTAGGCATTTAATTAGTTATATGAACAATAGTAATATCGTCCTCTTTACAGCTAAGCTGATAAGTTAGTTTTGGAGGGAGACCAATCAAGATCAGCTCAGTGTTTAGACATTAACATGGCGGTCAGTTTCCTGCAGACAGAGTGATTCTTCACTGCCTCCTGATGTAAGCAGGAGTTCTTCCCTGTGTTGAGCGGGCACTGGGTCCCCGAGGTCCCCGAAGTTGCTGTCATTACAGGAGTAGCTCACACGAGAACAACAGATGACCATGTCCTTTCACTGGTGTCTCGCAGAAATGGCTCCATGGCCCTGACCCGAAGTCATGGGCATTCCTGTTGTCCACATCGGCAGCTCTGCCACGTGTAGATATTTCTTTATACTGTGATTGCTATTTATGTTAAGTGTTCTGTATTTACATTCTGGGTTAGTTTTGTTGTATGCACGTAAGTAAAGTTGACAAAATTAGTACATTTTGCTGGATCACCATATACAAATTCTTTACTTGAAAATGCCTCGAAGCCAAAGCAATATGTGAAGTTTTAGAAGCCCTAGTCTGAAATACTGAATTTGCAGTAGCCGTGAACATTTTATGATAATAACTTGCGTTTGTCTCACAGACAGACAAGTCCTAGGTGTATTGACCTAGTTAGCAGAGCTTTTCTAACACAGAGCTCTGTTGAAAAGCAGATAACTAAAGTAGCTAAGACTCGAAATAGTCATTAGCAATTGGTACTTGCTAGGCTGGTGCTTACATTTCTGAAAGCTAAAGAAAGCAATAGAAAAATAAAGTGATAAATACTAAAAGTTACTCTGTTTTTTAGGTTAAAGTGGAGGTGCTGAAGATATTTAATAGAAACTCTTCAGAGAATAAATATCTACATTCTTTTTGCCCTTCCTCCAACTTTAAAGATTTATTTTATTTTTGTACTGTCTACTATTATTTAAAAAATTAGTTGGAAGGCAGAAATCTTTGAAACTAGCAATTTGAATACTGTCACACAGTTTTAAAGCATCCATTTCGGAGTAGAGGCACCTTAACCCCACCCACTTTGTACTATCTGTATCCAAGGTCCATTTCATACTGATGACAGTGCCTTGGACCTTTAACAGAACCCTGTTCTTACCCTCCTGTCCAGTGCCAGAACTGATGTACATGACTCCAGAGTCATCAAGATGTGACAACTCAGGTTACAGAGCATCGTGCTAATGGATGTCAGTGTCAGGACACTGGCCTCACATGCACATCCCCGGGTCATCCAAACGTTTGTGATTTAAGTTACAGAGCTTCATGCTAATGCTGTATGTCAGTGTCAGGAGTCTGGCCTCACATGCACATCCCCGGGTCATCCCCAGCACTGGGGGAAACGAGGAGGAGGGGTAAGGGAGGTGAGAGATTCAAGGAGGGTAATACATTTAGAATGGTACCTCTGAATTGCCAGATTTTGTTCACTGCTTACATATTTCACTGTTTACAAATAAGCTTCAGTGTTAGAAGGTCCAATGTCTTAATAACACCACATTTTTAAAAATACAGCCAGATTATTGAAAGATTGTGATTTCAGTTTTAAACAGCAAAAACTGGTTTCTTACCTTGTTGCACCTTCCAACTAATAAACAATAGGGAATGAATTTTCTAAATCCTTTTGAAAATTTGAGCAACATAGAGCAAGGCTGGGTCCTGACGTCCTGTTAGATGACTCTTCGGCTGTATTCTGCAGAGTGGTATTGTATACAGTTTCTCTAGTAAGGAGACCCCCAGGGTCTGAAATAGTAAAAACAAAACTCGAACTGGCTAGTAGACACTGTTAAAGCTTACATCCTAAGGTTGCAAAGGGACCAGGACTGTGTTTGAACTGACAGAATCACTTGTAAGTGCTGCTCTTGAGCCCACATGGGACCTAGAGCTTTCTAAGGACTGGCTGGTTGGGGCTGCGGCTGGTCTGAAACTGTCCTAACTTTTTCCTCTGATGTCTGTGTTCCTTTTCTCAAAGCAGGAGCAACCATCAGGGTAACAGGTACCTGAGTGTTTATCACCTCCATGTGCTGTCCACCCGTCTCCCCAGCGCTGCATGTATGAGGCTTGCGCTTCATACATCCAAAGTTCCACCATGTTTAAATCCACTCGTCCACATTAATACATTCTATTACCATACCGTAAACTCATACCTGCCTTTTCTTTTTCTTAGCATTTTGGATTTTTAGGAACCATTTTAGTTCTTGCTAATGCCTTACCATTTTTTTTGCTTTATTTTCTATGCAAATTAACAAAACTAAAAAGTATAATTTCAGAAAGGCAAACAGTTTTATATGAAAGCCTGTTTGGCTAACCCACTTTGGTTCTTGGTTTTAACAATGGCATAATTACATAAATGCAAAATCCAATTGTTTTTTCCGTAGATTTCTTTTGGAAGTCTTTTTTCAGATAATTTTAGAAGCCAGATTCTTTTTGGTAAGAAAGAGTTGGTAATTTAGATTAAAATGATAATATTTTAAAAGCCCTTCCAACACCTTTCTCTGTATCACACCTCTGATGTCATCACAAATTCCCAAATCCTGCTTAGATCAAAGTTAATTCTAATGTGGTGGATGGTGGTGTGGGTCTCACTGTAATTTCCAGACTGATTTCATCAGAACCCCGCTCAGTCCATGGCTGGGCTCCACCAACCAGCTTCGTGGTGAACAAAGGGGTTTAGGAGGGAGTGCAGTGTTTATGGCCGTGAAGTTAACTCTGAGCAATCCTCCCTTGGCTCTCAGCTCACAGCCAGGGCACTCAGGGCACAGCTTCTTTTTGATTTTAGAGTTTTTAGAATTGGTGTTTATAGAAAATGGAGTCCCCCCGCCCCCCCCCCCACACACACTTTAAATAATCCTTGCTTTTATCTGTCTTACTTGATAAGGAAGGACCATTAAGGAAAGGTGTATTATTTAGTGAGTCTACAAAGGCCAGCTATCATTCAAAAGCAAAGAACCTTTGAAAATTCATTTTTCCAAGCAGAGAAAGGAAAAGACTCCATCTATAATTCTTGAATTTATGAATGTGTTCATATATTAGCTTTTATTCATAAAATTGAATTTCTGTAGGGAATTTCAATGAAAATATAACCGCATAGATGGGTGTTGGAAGTTTATTATGCATATTTACCAGATACTCTTAGCATATAAGTTTAAGTTTGTGTTAAAATTTAAATGAACAAACTCATCATGTTGTATAATTCTTTCTTACCATTTCAAAAAATTGAATGAAAGAAATTATTCCATCACATTTCTTTGAGATTTAAAACATGGATTTAATAAAAGGATTTATTTAGTTATGAATTCTTTAAGAACATGATTTTACCTATTTCACTCTATTTATTAAACCACCGAAGTAAAAACCTATAGTTACTTTTTAGTTTCTAAATTTGTATAGTTGCTCAAGAAAAGGAGAAATAATAAAAATAAGAGAAGGAAATATTAATAAATAAATAAAAATTCACTGTTCATTCTTTTCTAGGTAAAAACAAACGGAGTTTCTGGTGTCAAACAAGAACCAGCGCTGAAGAGCGACCCATTTGAAGCTCTCTCCCTCAGTCTGCTTGCTGTATCCAAGGCTCAGCTGTCTGCTCAGATGTCACCTGCTCTAACCCCAGACCCAAAGGTGTTGGTCCAGTTGCCTTCCGCATCGCAAAGTAGTGTTAACTCTCTGAGTTCTGTAAGTTGCATGCCAGCCATGCCTCCAGCTCCCGCTCGGAGCAAGTCACAGGGAAGTATGGGGAGTTCTGTAAACCCGTTTCCCAGCCTGCCCAGCTGGAACCCTTTTACAGACAGGACTGCTACCCCTGGAAACCCATTTAGAGCGCAGTCACAAGAATCAGAGGCAACTTCTTGGCTGTCCAAAGAAGAGCCCGTTCCTAGTAATCCTTTCCCTCCCCTCGTGCCTCTCAGTCATGACACGAGCAAGCCGTCCAGTTCAGCTGATGGTTTTGAGGACAGTTTTGACCTGCAGAGCCAGAGCACAGTGAAAACAAGCAATCCCAAAGGGTGGGTAACCTTTGAAGACGACGACGACGATGACTTTCCCACAACAGGAAAGTCAAAGTCAGTTTGTTCAGACACGCTGGGGAACGCTCCAGCTTCGTTTCATGACGACTGGAATAAAGGGGCAAGTGCTTCTTCCTGTGTGCTGCCAGCCAGAAGACCGCCACCTCCTCCGGTGCCCCTGCTCCCGCCCAGCACGAGCTCATCCCCTGCAGGACCGTGCACAACCCAGGCATCTAAGGCGTCTCCCACACTGGACTTCACAGAGAGATAGTTAGGATGGCAAGGGAGTTTGTGCGGTTTGCTTTGGCTGTTTGTTTCTGTTTTGTTGGGGTAGAGTCGAGAGAATGGGGCATTAGTTACTCATTATGTGCAATAAGTAATCATTAAGTGCACTGATAGCTGTATCAAATAGCACTAGAGGATATGGACAAAGCTGGAGTTTATGTATATTGGAAATAACAAAGACATCCTCTTATTAGCTGGAGTTCTGGTCTTTCTCTTCAGATGAACAGGAGAGAGAGCAGAAGCCATTTTAAAAAGTGCTTAAAACTACTTTAAAAAATAGTCCTTACTGAGAAATTCACATAAAAGTCACATAAAGCCAACACAACTGTAGCTGACATTACTGCCAGCCCACTGTGCTGGTGACAATTGGTATTTATGGATATTTACCAAAGAGCTTCCAGAGTTACAGTGCAACAGTTCTGAAGGCATGCCTTTAGCAAAAAGGTCTATGTGTGTCTACATCATATGCATATGTTTGTATGCACACAGATTTACATATTCATAAAACTTAAGTCTTGAGATACAATTCAGGTCAAATTTTACCTAGCAATTCTGACAATGTCTTTTTCGGTATCTCATTATCAAAAAGATGGCTGCCACCCGGATGTGCTTTAGATACTTTCACTAATTTTAAATCCCAGAGTAGAACAACCGCTTTACAGAACTGCCATTTCCTATTGTTGTACTCCCCAGCCCTTCAGATTCACCCTCATCACCTTCCTCCCCTGTACCTCTAGTACGCCTTTCTCTGGGGGGTTACAGTTGACAGGACAGGCACTCAGAACAGCAGACACACACCACCGAGTTTAGTGCGGAATAGTAGAGCTAACATGCTCTCCCTTTCCCTTCCCTACCTTTCTATTGGCCGCTTTGCCCTGGAGCTTTGCTTTCTGCAGGGAAAGCTGCTGTTGAGTGCTCTGAATTGGGAACATATCCCATGTGTGTTCTCTCCCATGTTAGAGGCCATAACACATCTATGATGCTGCTTTAAGGTTTTAGAGGCTATACCTCAAATTTCTGTGGATTCTGTCTCCTGCACTGCCCGTATGCAACCGATCTTGCTTTTATTTTGTGAAGAAGTACACGGAATTTTTACAAAAAAACAAAAAACAAAAAAAACCATAGTATTTTGGTATCATTAAGTAAGCCAGTTGAAAACTCCCTAAGGTGTTGTTTGGTAGTTGTCAGTTGAAGTTAAAATCATCCTTAGCCATTAAGACTTAATGTTCTTTTTTATATAAAAAAAGTTACATACACCTAAGTTCCTACGTCCACATGAACCTTTAAAGATGTGTATTGTGATAACTAGAAACAGTTTATGGCTGCCATCACCTCCATGTAAAAGCACAGCAGACTTCGTTGCACTTCTCACGTAGAGTGATCTGTTAGGACAGAGCACCTTCGCAAATGCTCAGTGTTATCAAAATACTGTATTTATAGAAGTAATCCTCTGCTGCAGCCAGAAGTTGCTGTAAGCAATAACTCCCATGAGTTTTATATTGTGCTTGTTGGGAGTTCTGATCATTTCAACAGTAGTGGCTTTTAAACTGCAGTGTTCCTATAGCAGTGTGCTTCCAAATGTGAATTAACCTGTTGAGATTGTGGCAGTAACAGCTCTGTGACCAGTGTGTATGGTATCCACTCCCATTAGCAAGCTAACCCATCGGTAGGGAACAGAAGCAGTGTGTCCTGGGTATAAACCACTGTACAGTTCTATAGAGCAGCGGCTCAGCCTTGTCAGGTCTGGCACACTGCTGAAAACGCACAAGGGAAGTTAAAGTTTGCTACAAAAAAAAAACAAAACCCTAGACATTGTGTGTGAATATTTACCAGCTCTGGGCAGAGCAGAGCAGAAAATAGACACTAAGAATCTCTGTGACTGTCTGTTCTCTATAGTAGGTTGCTGTTTATATGTATGTAAGAGTTTTATTGCTTATGTGGCATACAATATTTATAACTATATACTTTATAGAAGTACAGTATTAAAGTCAGTGGTATACATTCTGTATATATCCTGTGAAATGTGCTGTCATATGAAATAAATATATATGTCTTTACCACCAGCTGGCTTCTTTACTCAAAAGGGAAGATTTTCTTCTCAGCGATTTCTTTTGTATTTCACATATACAAATTTCATGACATTTGGAGAAAATAAGTTAGCCCTTCCTTCCTTCCTTCCTTCTCTCTCTCTCTCTCTCTCTCTCTCTCTCTCTCTCTCTCTCTCTCTCTCTCTCTCTCTTTTGTGTGTATACATAATACATGCATGAATAAGAGGTAGTTTATTCTGGAGTCAAATTTGAATGACCATGGCAGATTCAGGTTACCCAAATTCCATGTTCTACCGTGGAAAACAGTTTCATGAAGTTTTATAGCTCTATAGAACAAAGTCATAAGGCATGGCAAATTTGAAATACATTGATGGATACATCAGAAAAGCAGCTACAGAATGATGGGGTAAGTTTTTCTGTAGGCATCAGATGATATTTGATGACATTTTAAACTTTTGGTTAATGGAAGCTTAGTTTATGGATTTCGAAGGTTTTAGGAATGTTAGTTCTGACCCAGAGGAGGGCAACAGATAGCTGTTCCAGGGGCTAAGGCTAGCAGAGACGGGTACTTAGCCTCTGGACCTGTACAGTCCAACGTCACCACATCGCTGCAGTATAATCAGTGACGGAGGCAGCCTCTTTTCCACTGACAAGTAAATAATATAAAGCACCAACACACACACACACACACACACACACACACACACACACACACACACACACAGAACCCACCATTTAGCCAAACTATGAGTTTGGAATCATTTCAAGGCTACATAGCACAGCTACCCTGGTTCATTCTCTCTATTCCTCTACCTGAATTTCCTCTGTCCGTTTGTTTTTGCTTCCTCTTTGTCACACTTAGAGGAATCCTCTACTGTGTCTGAACGCCCTGAAGAAGAGCGCTGCGCCTGCTTGCCCTTTGCGAGATTGTGGGGACGCACAGCAGCAGAGCTCGCCACTGTGACTTCCCCAGACCTGAAGCAGAAGGCATTTCCGGAGGCGATCAGTGCCTGTGCGGGAACGAGTCTGGGCTTGGGGGCGACTGTGTTCCTGTGGTGGCCACCATCTCACTCATTCTCAAGCGGGGAGTCGCCATGCTCCGCCACCTCATCTCCGAACCCCTGGACAGTCCGCACACTCTGTAGCAGCCTGGTTTGGGTTTCGGTTGCCCGGACAACAGCTACTTCCGGTGGCGGCGTACCGGATCGCGTCGCAGCCTTCCCATCGCCGGTTCCGGGCGGGCCCTGGAGGACAGGCAAGCTCAGTGTTTGACCGTTGCTCCTGGCAACAGCCACTTCCGCGAGCGTGCGCTGTCCTTCTCCTCACCCGGCGGACGCGTGAGTCCTAGTTCCGGGGTTCCGCGGTTCCGCCACGGAGCAGCAGTTAGTCTCCCGGCTGTGCGGGTCAGGCCGACCTCTCGGGCCTGCGGGCCTCGTGTTCCTTGCCTGCCGCCCCGACGCCTCGGCGGGGCCTTCGGCGCAGCCATGGTGGTGCTGCACGTGAAGAGAGGCGACGAGAGCCAGTTCTTGCTGCAGGCGCCCGGGAGCACCGAGCTGGAGGAGCTCACGGCTCAGGTGACCCGCGTCTACAACGGGCGGCTGAAGGTGCAGCGGCTCTGCACAGGTACTGGAGGACGGGGCATGCAGTGAGGAGGGCTCGGGGTTGTGGGTTTGGGAAGATGTGCAGTAGCCTGGAGGGTGGGGAAGGAGCATCAGGGTTGACCCGGGATGAAAGACCCAACAACTGGAAAAATCCAGGCAAGTCTGGTACCCCCGACTCAGAAGTGGGCAGCGGGGAAGCCAAGTGCAGCCGAGCTAGGATTTGACCATCCAGGAAGTGCGAACTATCTGGGCCGAACGGCAGTGGGAGGAGCCGAAAGACCCAGCGGGACCCTGGAAGGTTGCAAGGGTGGAGTGGTAGCCACGGGGAGGGGGTGTACAAGTGAATACCCTGTTTGAGGATTTCGGAGCTCGAGTCCTGGCTTTGAGACCGCCCATCAAAAGTGGGAGACACTGGGAGAGCCTCGGTGGTGTTGTCTGTCTCCTAGGAAACACGTTATATTTGCATCATAGAGAACGCCTTAAGACCTGTTATATTTTTCCCTAATTAAACTTAACTGCTTTCATTACAGGCTCCATATTAGATGACATTTTAAAAGTAAAGCATTTAGGGAGAGAAAATTCCGGGTCTTCTTTAGCATTGTAAATTTAAAAAGTGTGGTGCAGAATGTAAGGGTTGTGTGGGTGAATTTAGAATCCACAGATGTACTCTACTCGGGCAGGTACCAGTGCTCTCTCTGCCTTAGGAAGATGGGGGTGAGTCACACCAGCCCCTCTCCCAAGTGCATAGTATGGAAATGGAAAGAGGCTGTAAACGTCCCATCCGCTTACACCATCTATCCTGTCGTATTGTATTGTTGCAGGTCACATCATGTCTTCCCCATATTACGGAAACACACAGTTCTTAGTGTCTTCCTTAAGGAAGGGAAGGAAGAAAGGAGAAAGGAAGGTGGGCAGTATAGCAAGGTTAAAGTGTGTGTGTGTGTGTGTGTGTGTGTGTGTGTGTGTGTGTTGGTGTAGGTTTATATATGTGCTGGTGTAGGTTTGAACACGTATGAGATAGGAAAAATATAAAACCATGATTTGAATAGTAAACATGAGGTGAATTCTCTCACTTTGGAGGGATAGTTGCTGTCTTAGGCACTTTAAATGTTCAGTATCTTTCAAAGTTCAAAGCTCTTTACAATGTCTGTCTCATACCTGGGTTCCTGTAAAATCAAAGAACAAGTAACTACTTTCTTATTCCAAGGGAGAAGAACTAGAACTCAGTAACATTCAAGTCAAAGCAAAACCAAAGTCCAGCACCGGAGAGCTCAGTGACAGACGTTTGGGACTCAGGCTCTTGTAGGCTCCACTCTGCTCTGCCATCCCGAGCACACAGAGCTCGTCTCACAGGCTGAGGCTGCTCCACCCCCCAGCTGCTGCTGTCCTTCGTTGTCTTCCCAGGGTACTGACATTTCCAAAATGCTGGGATAGCCACAGGCTTCACCTTCACCAATGGCACCATCTGCCCCCTGACCTCCCTCCAGGGTCTCTGACCCTGCCACGTGATGCCAAGCTTCAGCCTCTCGCCATGATCCCTTCAATCCTGTGTAGCTAGAGTTTTCCTGCCTGGCCCACAGTCAGGACAAATCTCTCTCACCTGCCAGTCCCACAGCCGCTCAGACCCAACCAAGTAAACACAGAGACTTATATTGGTTTCAAACTGTATGGCCGTGGCAGGCTTCTTGCTAACTGTTCTTATAGCTTAAATTAATCCAGTTCCATAAATCTATACCTTGCCACATGGCTCATGGCTTACCGGCATCTTCACATGCTGTTTCTCATCATGGCAGCTGGCAGTGTCTCTCTGACTCAGCCTTCCACTTCCCAGCTTTATTCTCCTTCTTGTCCCGCCTACACTTCCTGCCTAGCCAATGGCCAATCAGTGTTTTATTTATTGACCAATCAGCAACACATTTGCCATACAGAACATCCCACAGCAATCCTGGGGTTCCCTGAGCCTGAAGCTGCACCTTAACCAATAGCCTTTTCATGACCCCTTCCTATCCTCACAAACCAGTACCGTGTGGGAGGTGCTTATGCACTGCTAAGGTTGGCTGCAAGCATGAAATGCAGCTTTGGCACCCTTTGGACCACGGCTTCTGTCTGCCGACCCTGAGGAAGCGTTTCCCAGAAGAGCATTTTGCCTCGAGGATGTTGGTATCTTCTTATCCACAGCTGATTATCTCTCAGCTCCAGCAAAGGTTTCGCTCCAGCAAAGTGGTTCTGGTCTCTTGTTAATCACAGCTCATTTCTCAGCTCCGGCTGATCAGAACCACGATTCTTAATACAGAATATCATGGGAATGCCCCAGGGAGAGTCTTTGTTCCCTCTGAACCTTCTCAAGCCAGGCCTCCATCCTCCGTGTTGCTCTCACCACTCTTAGCTTCAGGCTCCCACAACAGCCCATTAAGCTCTGAGCACTCACTGCCTTTCCCAGCACAAAGTTCCAAACACTAACACAGCTGTCCCCAGAACAACATGGCTAAGCCTGTTGTGATACTCCAGGATCCTGATACCAGGTTCTGTCTTTGGTAGCTTTGATAGCTGTGGGGAAAAAAGAGCTTGGGGAGGAAAGGGCTTATTTTTTTTTTTAAAGGTTTAGTCCATGAAGGGCAATCAGAGCAGGAACTCAAGGCAGGAACCTGGAGGCAGGAACTGAAGCAGAGACCATGGAGGAAGACTGCTTCACTTAGACTTTTTTTTATGCCACTTGGGACCATCTGCCCATGGGTGGCACCACCTGAAGTGTACTGGGCCCTCCCACATCAATCAAACATTGTCCTGCAGCTTGCCTGTAGGCGGTCTGATAGAGGCATTTTCTCAGCTGAGGCTCCCTCTTCCTAGACGTATGTAGGTTTGTGCCAAGTTAACAAACACCAACCAGGACAATTGCCTTAAATCCTTCCCAGTGAGTTATCTAAATTGTTTATGAAGTGTTTGTGTCAAGTTTTATGAGGGTGTGTGTGTGTGTGTGTGTGTGTACATGAGTAACTTGGTTGTTGTGTGACCTTGGTTGTTTTTATTTGTTTGTTTGGTTGTTGTTTTGTTTTGTTTTTTGAGACAGGATCTCTCATTGGCCTGTAGCAAAGCTGGCTGTGTAGCAACCCCCGGCAATGCCCAGGTCTCTACCTACCCCTACAGCCCCACCCCCAGTACACAGGTTTTACGTGCTTCTTTTACGTGGATTCTGGGGCCCAGCTTGGCGCCTCATCCTACACAGCGAGCATTTTACCAAGTGAGCCTCCGTGTAAGGTTCCCATAAGATGACAGCCAGGTGCTCTCAGCAAGCCCAGATCAATAGCGCTGTAAATCAGGACGGTGAGGAAAAGGACGGTGAGGAGGTTTAAGCAGCTGTCATGTCTTTCCCACAAGGTTACGTTAAATGGAGTCATCTGAGATTCTCCCTGGAAAATGAATGGTAAAGCTGTGTGGATAGGCTGTGTGGAAGGGCCGTGTGGATGGGCTGTGGATAGGCTGTGTGGATGGACCTTGTAAATAGGCTGTGTGGATGGGCTGTGTGGATGGGCTGTGCGGATGGACCTTGTGGATAGGCTGTGTGGCTAGACGTGGTTTTTAAATGAGCATTAATCTCGTAACTCCTGAGCACAGAGCCTTGGAGCACAGACTCCGGGGGATCTGAAGCTCGCTGTGCTCCTGCTGACCGAGGGTGACTGGGTGACTTTGTCTGGGATGAAGAAAGCTCTGACACACGGCTCGTGGTGTATGTTCAGATAGTGAGCTGGAGAGCAGACCTGAGACCCAGGAGCAGGCACTCCTTTGGAGACTAGGTGTGAGTGATCACAATGCAGGGGTGTCTGCCCTCCCCTGTTTTCCAGAGGTGGAGGAGCTAGCAGCGCACGGCGTGTTTCTGCCCCCCAATATGCAAGGGCTGACTGACGAGCAGATTCAGGAGCTGAAGTTGAAGGATGAGTGGGGCGAGAAGTGTGTGCCCAGTGGGGGTTCTGTGTTCCAGAAGGACGACATCGGCCGGAGGAATGGACAAGGTAGTTGGCTTTTCTCTTCTGTCTTTGCGCATGAAGGCCGTTCTTTGAGAGGTTTGGGCCAGTGGATGGGCCCTGCCGGTAAGAGTGTTTGCACGGAAACCTGATCTCCAGATTCCACGATGAAGGAGAGAACCAGCTCCACGCAGTCCTCATATGCACCTGGCCCACACAAGCACGCCCACACTCACATCATATAAAAAATATTTTAATGTAATTTCCTCATTTCTTTGCGGACTGAGAAAACACTGCACTGTGAAACTCCTGTGCTAAAACCCAGGCTGAGTCAAGCGGAGGATCTCTCCTCTAGAGGCCTGGTGGCTCCTACTGAACTGCCTCCTTCGTGGGGTAGACAGGCCATGCAAATTTGCCATTTCTGTAGGTCAGAAATGGATGAGTACTGTACCATTCTCCCTAAGTTTGGGGACTCTGTCTCCACTGTGCTTAGCTTTAAGCTTGGGAGTTATGGTTTGGTGTCGTGTGCCACATTTGGGCAGTTGTCAGGTAAAATAAAGTTGTGTGGGTCAAGCGGGCACACGTGTGTAATCCTAGCACTCAGGAGCGTAAGGCAAGAAGATTGGGGCCTCCAGGTCGGCCTGGTGTAGCTTGAGTTTTCCTGCCTGGCCCACAGTCAGGACAAATCTCTCTCACCTGCCAGTCCCACAGCAGCTCAGACCCGACCAAGTAAACACAGAGACTTATATTGGTTACAAACTGTATTGCCGTGGCAGGCTTCTTGCTAACTGTTCTTACAGCTTAAATTAATCCATTTCCACTAATCTACACCTTGCCACATGGCTCGTGGCTTACCGGCATCTTCACATGCTGTTTCTCATCATGGTGGCGGCTGGCAGTGTCTCTCTGACTCAGCCTTCCACTTCCCAGCTTTATTCTCCTCCTTGTCACGCCTATACTTCCTGCCTGGCCAATGGCCAATCAGTGATTTATTTATTGACCAATCAGCAACACATTTGCCATATAGAACATCCCACAGCAGCCTGGGTACATAGAGACACCCTGACCCAGAACAGATGTGCGCATGCGTACCTACATTAAGTTTTATTGCCATTCCACTCACTGGCCGCCCATGTCCGCTTTTGAGCCACGGAGACAGGGTTGAGTCACAGCTTTGTAGCCTGAGAGGCCTGAAGTTCTTTTGCTTCGTTTGCTGGCGCTGTCCTCTCAGTGACTTCTGGCCTGGTTTTTGTCGCCTTCAGCAAACTGCCGAAAAGCCACTGCAGACCTTTCCCCTTGCTTGGGATCTCTACCTAGCTCCCCACATCTCCGTATGTCCCTCTTGCCTAATCCGGATCCTCATGCTCGCCTCTCCTGGCCCGGACAGGAGAGTTCGAGAACATTCGGGATTTTTACAAAGGCTGTGTGCTTGACATCTGTCTCCTGTCCTTTTTTTCTAATAGCTCCAAATGAGAAGATGAAGCAGGTTTTAAAGAAGACGGTAGAAGAAGCCAAAGCCACGGTATCTAAGGTCAGCTTCTGGGACGGACAGATGGTTGGACAGACGCTCCTCTGTCTGTGAAGCGGGCACTCCTGAGGATGGGTTCACATCTCATGCCCCTGCTCTCTGCTCCCTACCTTTCTGTTGCTCCTTTGTTTCTGGTTTTTTCTTTTCTTTCTGGGCCTTCCAGTGGCAAAGGAAATCAGCATATTTGAGGAGGGCTCTGGCTTCCCTTTTCATGATGATGACAGTTTCCCAAAGTCCTACTGAGCAAGCAGAGGTTTCTATTGTCTTGCGTGGATGTAGGCTCCCCGTGTACTGGCCATTCCTTGTGTTCTGAAGAACTCAGAAAGCTAACTAAGCAGGGGAAGTTGTAATGTCGCCCGTAGATGCAGGATTGGTAGAGGCGTTTCCTGTAAAGCAGTGTTTTCTGTAATCGGCTTCAGCCTTTATACAAAACCTCCTTCACAGAAGAAAAACAACACCATTGAGGGGCCGATATGCACCCCTGGAGGAAGAGAACTGGGGGCTGGAGAGCTAGCTCGGTGGATAAAGGTGCTTGCTGCTAAGCCTGGGGACCTGAGTTCGAGAGACCGGAGTTTGACTTCAGGACCCACGCGGGTAGTAAGAGAGAGCTGACTCCCACAGTTGTCCTCTTACCCCCCCCCCCACGTGTGTCACACACACACACACACACACACACACACACACACACACACCAAATTAATGGAAGAAATCTTGGGTGTTTCACTCGTCCTGTTTATCCACACGGGCAGCAGTCGCTGCCCCCCACACCTCCGTAGTCACCCCACACGTCCGTCTAAACACCCCCAAGCTCTTAGCTAAGCTTTTTCTATTTTAATTCATCGTGTTTCTGAGACTTTTCCTGTGTAGCCTTGGCCAGCCTAATACTCAACTATGTAGCCCAAACGGACCGTGAACTCATGGCAGTCCTCCTGCCTCAGCTTCCTCAGTGCTGGGATTACGGGCGTGCCCCTCTGTGCCCCCTGCCCAGTCCCAGGAGCCCCCCGAAAGCTGCCTGTTGTGTGCCAGGCTCCTGAAACTTAGTCTGTCGTCGTTTTCGAGATGCTTCTGACCGAAGAGCCTCGAAAAGAGAGATGAGCCCCGGCCTCAGAGCCTGTCTTAGCGGAGTCCTCTCCTCAGCACTCTCCTTTCCCACATGGCACCGACACCCTTTGCAGGCGCCCCTCAGAGCACGGTCCTCTACCCCAGTTTGGAAACTCGGGTTCTGGAACTGATTTTTACCCCGCTGCCCTCACCCTTCTCTGCGTTCTCTACCTCAGGATGAGCGTCCCTGTAGGTTCCTGGTCACAGAACCAGCGTCTCAGTTACACGGTTGTGTAGACCTGTGTCATCCTGTGTCACCTCAGCCCTTCCCTCTCTGTCACCCGATGCCTGCATCTGGCCCTGTACCTTCTGCTCCAAGCTCCCTCCTCTCCTTCCCGCACCCTGCCTCCTCTCCCTCCCACACCCTGCCTCCTCTCCCTCCCGCACCCTGCCTCCTCTCCCTCCCACACCCTGCCTCCTCTCCCTCCCACACCCTGCCTCCTCTCCCTCCCACACCCTGCCTCCTCTCCTTCCCGCACCCTGCCTCCTCTCCCTCCCGCACCCTGCCTCCTCTCCCTCCCGCACCCTGCCTCCTCTCCCTCCCGCACCTTCCTCCTCTCCCTCCCACACCTGCCTCCTCTCCCTCCCACACCTGCCTCCTCTCCCTCCCACACCCTGCCTCCTCTCCCTCCCACACCCTGCCTCCCATGTATCTTGAACCCTCCTCAGTGGCCGTTTACACTGCAGTACCAGCAGGAAATCACCCGCTCAGTTCAGTTCGAACCCCAGCACCCGGTTAGCCAGGACCCCATGAGTTAGGGGCCACAGCCCTTCAACACTCCGTTCAGATCCCCCAACTAAAGACCACGGCCACCAAGACGACTTCGAAGCCAGCTTCAAGTGGGGTCCCCAGGCTGTCCACGCTTCTGTCCCACTTGGCCTCTAATGTGAGGCTTCTTGTGCCCTCCTCAGATTTATTTGACTAACTCAGAACTCACTGAGCACACGAGTCCTGATTGCAGCTCATGATGAACTCAGAACAGCTCAGTAACTGGAAAAGGTGTGAACCAATGCGAAAGGAGGGAGCAGGGCTCCAGGGCCATCCTTGGGGAACCCATGGGAGTCACTGGGTTCAACACCAGGCAGTTTCACTTGAAGCCTTAGGGTATTGATGAGGGTCTTGTTAGATCGGCACTATGGGCCACCTGACTGGACTCAGTCTGTAGCTGCTCCGCCCTCCCTGGAGGTTGCAGGTAAAAGTGAGGCTGGCGCCCAGCCTTTAATTGTGTGTTGGTCTTTCTGGCACGGCCAGCCCTTTTCTAGAACAATCTTAGTCTAGAAAGTTGCTATAACGAGGTACCTATGACTGGGTACTTGATAAAGAGGTTTAGAGGCCAGAAGTCTAAGGTCAGGTGATCCTGTCTGTTTGGCCTGTGTAAAGGTCCCCCTTCCACTCCCACCTGCCCAGGGCTGTGCCTGAGGCAGCCTGCTCCATCTCTGCCTCTTCATCCCCTCCTCCCAACGATGCCGCTGGGTGTGGGTCTGCCCTGAGCACTGCAGACCTCTCTGATGTCACTCACTGTCTGCTTCTGGCCTGGGCCATGGTGTCCTCAGCTCAGCCCCGAAGTGGACAGCAGTCACCTGGGCAGTGGCAGCTCTCTGGTTCCTTCTGTGGCTGAGCTGGCAGGACCTCTGAGGGTCTTCTATGGGAACCTGCCGGGTATTTATTGACTTTTGCCTGGTCCGCTTCCAGAAACAAGTGGAAGCTGGAGTCTTTGTTACCATGGAGATGGTGAAAGATGCCCTGGACCAGCTTCGAGGTGCAGTGATGATCGTCTATCCCATGGGGCTGCCACCGTACGATCCCATCCGGATGGAATTTGAGAATAAAGAAGATCTGTCAGGAACTCAGGTGTGCATGGAGCCGTGGGGAGAGCAGGGTGCTGGAACCCGTCCTCTGCCTGAAGGGCCTCCAGCCAGGCTGCAGGTGCTGGGTGCAGTGCCGGTGACTTTCCTCTTCATGCCTGTTCCTGTGGTTGTGCGATTGACCCCAGGCAGCACTGGACGTCATTCAGGAGTCGGAGGCACAGCTGTGGTGGGCCGCCAAGGAGCTGAGACGAACGAAGAAGCTTTCCGACTACGTGGGGAAAAATGAGAAAACCAAAATCATCGTCAAGATTCAGCAGGTGAGCATGCGCCTCTGCTTCGCAAGTCAGTGTGGTGTGTTCACCTTCCTGAGGATAAAGTTTTGCAGGAAATCTAACCCATTCTTAAACCTGTGCATACTTCTAGCCCTGCTGGCCCCAATTCAAAGTAGAAATTTCCTTTTTCTATTATTTTCAACCTAAAAAGCAGGTCTACATGCAAAAATGTTCCTACTAATGAAGAATTCAGCCAAGAGAGATTCTAGGTCTTTTCAAGCTGCTGGTGTCCTGTGCTGGAAAGGGCGGGAGGTGTGGGGCGCCATCCACCTGAGGTGCGTCAGTCTTAGGCACTCCTAAACCATTCCTGTGTAATTTTGGGAACAAGGCCTGTAGACTTCTGTCTCCCCAAGTGTGGCTCTGAGCATCCTCCCGTCCTCCCTGGGCTCACAGTGGAGTCCTTGGGGATGGCCATGTTAGAGGTGGCGTCCACTACAAGTCCTGAGCCCTGGCAATGCTGGTGCCCATGGCCCCACTGTGGCTTATCAGCCCTGCTGTCTTCTTCACTGCTGGCAGGGAGAGTTATAACATTCTGCAGGAGTGTCTCAGTCCCCGGTTTACTCTGATTTTGCCTTTTCAGAGGGGCCAGGGTGCACCAGCCCGGGAGCCGATTATCAGCAGTGAGGAGCAGAAGCAACTGATGCTGTACTACCATAGAAGACAGGAGGAGCTCAAGGTAGCCGTTGGGTAGTCAGCGGGACAGCAGAGCCGGGGGACGGCAGAGCTGGGGGACGGCAGAGCCAGACAGCAGAGCCGGGGGGACAGGACGGCAGAGCCGGGGGACGGGACAGCAGAGCTGGGGGACCGCAGAGCCGGGGGACAGCAGAGCCGGGGGACAGCAGAGCCAGGGCTGCAGCCTGCATCCCATGCCTTAACCATGGGTGGGGTCCTGTGGGAACCACACAATGTTAGGGATGGGCTTTCCGGGCTCTCTGAGACTGTAGCCAACTTTAAACCCTGGAGGGTCCTGCTGGCGTTGGGAGGTGGGCGCAGGGAATCTTCCCTCAGTCTCCATGAGCCGCTTTCCTGAAATGCTGTCCTGAGTAAAGCGTGTTTGTTTCCAGAAACTGGAAGAAAATGACGATGACTCCTGTTTAAACTCTCCATGGGCTGATAACACTGCGTTGAAAAGACATTTTCATGGGGTAAAAGACATAAAGTGGAGACCCAGATAATGAGGCCCTCAGAGCCACCAGCCCCCTTCCCTGGGAAAATAATTAGAATGCTATAAAAGACATGGACGTTTCTGTTTCCCAATTTCCTTTAGTTTGGATTTTTGAAATAAGTCATTCATCGTTTAGAACTTAATAAATATATACTCAAAAGAAAATGTGTCAATTATTCTCAGTTTAGGACAATTGTGTCACATCTGAGGATTTTCTCTGGTGGCGTCCCAAAGGTTCATAGGTGTACGTGCAGCCGTATCCTTTTTAGTCCCCCTGTCTTGTGTCCTCATGTGTTGGAGAGGACCCCAGAGTTTCCTCTGCTTTCTCTGCAAGACGGATTCCGTAGCTGACTGGAACTTGACCGCGGTGGCCACTAGAGGGCGCCAGCTGCAGGCTTCTCTGAGATCAGTGGGGATGGAGTCGGCTTTAAGGCACTAGGGCAGCAGCTTTCCACCTGTGGATCTCGACTTGGGGGTCACATATCAGATATTCTGCATATCAGGTATTTACATTACAATTCATAACAGTAGCAAAATTACCAATATGAAGTAGCAACGAAATTATTTTATGGGGGTCAGCACAACATGAGGAACTATTAAAGGATTGCAGCATTAGGAAGGTTGAGAAGCACTGCTCTAGGGTGAACCCACTTACAGATCTGACTGTGCCAGCTCCCAAGGTTAAGCCTGGCTCCAGGTTGGTGCCCCCTCCCCGGGGGGGGGGGATGCTTATTGCCAGGAGAGGCCAGCTGTGATGTAGGTTGGTGGCCAGCTAGGCTAACCTGGCATCTTGATTCCGTAGTTAACCTTTCAAGTCTCCTTCACTAAAACAGGTCGGGAAAAGGAGCTCTGATCCAGGCTCTGCCTGTGCTGCCGTTGACGCCCGTTTGGGCATCTGTGCTGGTTCAGTGACGGCCTGCAGAACTCACTGCTCCGCAGTTAAACTCGCCGTTCATCCCCCTCCCGCTCAAACCTGGACCTATCCGTAAATGAAGTATACCCCAGACTTCTCCTTGTAGCTAGACGTGTCCTAGAAACACACTCACCCTTGACCTTGGCCTTCAGGATGCTGGCCAGTTAAGAGGAAATTCTTGGTGCTCCCTGTAAGGGGGAGGAAACACTCTACTGTTCCCTGCACCGGCCTTCCTGCTCCACTGCCCCTCCCATTTGAGTACCCAAGCTCTCCACCACAGCCTGGAGAGGAGTTGTGGGAGCCAGTGGAGGTCACATGACCCGAGTGGAGGTGGCCTGGGGACAGGCCACACCCATGCAAAGCCAACCTTTCCCTGGAGCCAGCATCCCACGTCTGTGATGAGAACAAGCCCCTCGTCCTCCGGCCTGGGTGCCCCATCAGAACATCCTGGCCCATATAGCATCATTTACCTAGATGTCCCTGACCCCACTTGGGAGACTTGGGCTTCTGGTAGGAGCCGTGGGGCTGAGCCCCAACTCACACTGAGGTTCTCCCAGAGGCTTTGGCCTCCTGCCCTCTTCCACCCGCCGTCACCAAGCTACCAAGCTGGTGTCTAACAAGCTGGCCCCTGACAGGCTACTTTCAAAGCCAGATGTAGCTGGCCATGCTTTATGGTTCTGCTATTTTGATTGGTTAAATTTTGTAAAAAACCAAAGTTGTTTCTATTTCCCTTACTTTGACTGTAGTTTGAAGTTTCTCCCGGAAATGTTTTGGCCTTGGATGGCATTGGCTGTTAGCCTCTGGTTGTACTTGGGAGTCTACTGTCTTTCGCCACGTGTAGTTTGTGTGTAGACGATTCGTGCTCAGAATTACGTGGGAAAGTGAGTCAAGGCGTGTGATCACAGCAGAACTCTTTAGGAACTAGTCAGTGTTGCTAGGAACGGGTGACAGTGTCACCTGTGTGGGCGCTGCCCATGTCCCTGACGGTGACACTCGTTTCACATAACCAGCAGAACTCACCCTCCCGAGCCCCACTTCTCATTCTGAGGGAATACTCAGCTGATGCAGGCTTCCTGGCATCCCACCACCCTCCTCTGTGGGGTACTTGGTAGTCCACAACCCTCTCATCCTGTCTGCTTCACACCCGGCTGGGAGCCAGATGCTCACTGGAGTACCCAGAGGTGGGTGGCCCACCACAGCCATCCATAGAGGGGCCACTGGCAGTCACTAACTGTGTCCGCCCACCTTGTGACTCACCCGGGTCACACAGCTGGTGAAGACAGAGCCGGGCACTACTCTGAGAGACCCCCAGCAGACCTCACCTTGCCAGTGCAGACTGTCAGCCTAGCATGAAGTCTTGTTTCTTTTCTTTTTGATCCAATGCATCTTTGGGTCATAACAAAAGGAAACAAAGTAGCTCCTTCATGCACCAGCTGGCTGTGGCATTGTCCTTGGACACAACTTGATTATTTCTCTGTAACCAATTACTAGGATGCTAGTATTTGACACCACTTAAATTTGACAGCACTTGCCGGGCAGTGGTGGCGCACGCCTTTAATCCCAGCACTCGGGAGGCAGAGCCAGGCGGATCTCTGTGAGTTCGAGGCCAGCCTGGGCTACCAAAGTGAGTCCCAGGAAAGGCACAAAGCTACACAGAGAAACCCTGCCTCGAAAAACCAAAAAAAAAAAAAAAAAAAAAAAAAAAAAAAAAAAAAAAAATTGACAGCACTTAAAATTCTTTAAACCATCCAAGTGTTAGTGTGGTGATTTGAATGTATCTGGCCCCCATAATCTCATAGGGAGTGGCACTATTAGGTGTGGCTTTGTTGTAGTGGGTGTGGCCTTGTTGGAGGAAGTATGTCACTGTGGTGTCACTGTGGTGTCACTGTGGTGTCACTGTGGGGTGGGCTTTGGGGTTTCCTAGGCTCAAGGTACCTCCTAGGGTGTCAGTTGACATTCTGTTGCCTGCAAGATGTAGGACTCTGAGCTCTTTCTCTAGTACCCCATCTGCCTGCAGCTGCCATGCTCCCCGTTATGATGATAATGGACTGAACCTCTGAAACTGTAAGCAAGCCCCCTCAATTAAATGTTTTCTTTATAAGAGTTGCCATGGTCATAGTGTCTCTTCACAGCAATAGAAACCTAACTAAGACAGAAATTGGTACCAGGGACTGGAGTGTTGCTGTGATAGGCCGAACCACATTTTTGTTTGGAGGAATTTGGACTTTGGTACTTTGGGTTTGGAAAGCAATAGAATGCTTTAATCACTGCTTAACGGGCCACACTAGTACAAGCATGGAAGACAGTGGTGCTAAGAGTTATTTGAACTGTGGGGGGCTCACTCAAGAGGTTTCAGAGGAGAAGAATTTTAGTATGCTGCCTAGAGATCATTCTTGTGATAGTTTGGTGAAGAAAGTGGCCGCCTTTTGCTCTTATCCAAAGAGTCTGCCTGAGACTAAAGTGAAGAGTTTTGAATTAATTCTGTTGACAGAGGAAATCTCAGAACAGCCTAGTAAAGACTCTGTCGTGTGGTTATTAGTGGTAACTCTTATGAAGATTTATAATGAAAAGGAGCAGGCTGAGTAGGGTAAATCACAAAATGTAAAATGTGAGGAGAAAAGAAGCACCAGGAAGATTAATAGAGCTAAGCCCTGCATTCAAGGAGATAAACAGATTAAGAAATGGAATAAAGGGAATGGTGACCTCAGGGCAAGATCCCACCCCAGCTAAGTTTCCAACTTGTGAAAAGGAGCTGAAGAAAAGCATAGAGCCAGGTGTGGTGGGGCACGCCTTTAATCCCAGCACTGGGAAGGCAGAGGCTGATGGATCTGTGAGTTTGAGGACAGCCTGGTCTACAGAGCGAGTTTCAGGACAGCCAAGCAGTGAAGGACAGAAAACTGGTGAAGATGTAATTGAACAAGAGGCCCATGTTCCAATCCCAGTAAGCAGCAGAACTTGTCAGCTTCAGCCACATGGTTCTGGCTTTAGAGTTAAGGATAGAATAAAGGAGTTATGGAATAAAGCCACTATGGCCAGGGATGTGTCAGGGGTGTCCCTGAATAGAGGCCCAGAGAGGCCATGGCATGAAGCTGTGAAGTTGAAACCTGGATTGCCTAGGAGACCCCAAGATGTTGGAGATGCCAGAGTCATGCCATATCTGCCAAGGAAAGCTGCTGACAGGGGAACCAGCCCAAGAGAAAGGAATGTCTTGCAGTCAACAAAGCTGAAAGGAATTGAAGATGCAGAGTTGGAGTTTGCCCAGCTGGTTTTTGGTCATACACTGGTCCAATATTTCCTCACTATGCTCCCTTCCCTGCATTTTGAAAGTAATGTGTATCCTGTGCCATTATATGTTGGAAGTATGAGATCTGCTTCTTGATTTTGATTTTTACCAGTGATTACAGTTAAGAGATTGCATGATCTCAGAAGAAATTTTGAACTTTGGACTTTAAAACATTGTTGAGACTGTGATAGACTATGGGGACTTTTGAAATTGGACTAAATGAATTTTGTACTATGATACTGTACAAGCTAATGGGGGCCAGGGAGTGGAATGTGGTAGTTTGAATGTAATTGGCCCCCATAATCTCATAGGGAGTGGCACTATTAGGAAGTGTGGCTTTGTTGGAGTGGGTGTGGCCTTGTTTGAGGAAGTGTGTCACTATGGGGGCGGGCTTTGAGGTTTCCTATGCTCAGGGTACCTCCCAGTGTGTCAGTTGACTTCCTGTTGCCTGCAAGATTTAGGACTCAGCTACTTTTCCAGTACCACATCTGCCTGCCTGCTGTGATGCTCCTTGTCATGATGATAATAGACTGAACCTCTGAAACTTGTAAGCAAGCCACCCCAATTAAATGTTGTCCTTTATTAGAGTTCCTGTGGTCATAGTATCTCTTCATAGCAATAGAAACCCTAACTAAGATGACTAGTGTCTATCTACCAGGGTTCTGTCACAAGATCACCTTGTCCCTTGGTCATTCTGCTGCAGGAATGCGCCATCCAGCTTGTAATTAAGTGCCACATGCTTAGGTATAGGTCTGGAGTCTTGGCCCTGTGACTCCATTTAGAGCCTGAGCAGGGACCCTTCCAGAGACGGTGAGACTAGATTCCAGGACCCATCCATGTGGTAGAGGGCTTGGGGAGAATTAATGGTTCCCAACACATATGTCTAGTAGCTCACAATCACCTGGGACTCCAATTTCAGGGACGTCTGACACCTCTGACCTCCATAGGCATCTGCACATGTACACCACA